TTTTGACATGTAATCTGATTTGAACTAGATTTGAACTATTCAGGTGCCACCAGTGTGTAACTATAGCAAAATCATATGTGTGATATCAGACATTTACAATGCTCTGCTCTAAATGGCAAACGCTCAACTGTTTAGTTTTTTCAGTGAGGCCAAAATCAAACCATCAACTGGAACTCTACTGTGTCATTGAAGATGCTTTTAAGTCCAATGGATTGCCTGATTTTGACCCTGACAACTTTTCAGTGTTTTTTTTTGTGGTTTTTTTTTTTTTTACCTTTTCAACCACATTTTGCTTCTAAAACTGTATCTACTATGTGACCAGCTCATTCCTTTCAGTGTTGTGATGGAGGAAACAGGCATGTCTTTAAATTGCTGCACAACAAAGAAGAGAAAAATCCAAGCAACGGGGAGGGCAGGATTACACAATGTTTCTTTTCCATACAAAACACACTTAAAGAAAAGAAACAGTCTGCTCTGCACCAATCAAGAGTATTGAGTTTTTAATTAATTTTGATATAAATGCTGTTCTATTCATTGATATAAATTTATTAATAAAGGTGAATCCCATATCCCTGTTTTAAATTGTTCATAGAGCAGCACTTTCAACCACCAGCATTGGGTGATTCAACTGAGCTGTACAAGTGAACTGATCATTCTTTAAATATGCTTGACAACATTTTGTAACTGGTGTTCACTGTCAAACTAATGGTATTGCACTCAAGTGAATCAGCAGCTGATCATGTAATATGATCTGGTAATTCTGGATAACAGGTATTCTAGCTGTCCAGCTGTCAATTATAATACAGGCAAACACTTAAAATGTCTTTGCATTTTACTCCATCAACACCAGCACACATCAAATGCATGAACAAACTACAGTATGTGACTTTGAAGGATGATGGCTTCCCTTAAACTTTGGGGATATTTTCTGCACTGCTAAGCTGAAAAAATGACTCCGTGCTCAATCTAACTCTCAAAACAGCGAAGTTAATTAAAAACCAATGTACTTGGCAGAATTGCAGGCATCATTTTTGCTTTTCCAGTTGGCTCTTGACACCAATAAATTCCAACAATTTCCACATGACTGGTTAAATAGTCGTGCTCTGATACAGTATGACTTCTTTGACAGATCTTGTCCTTAAGGGCTCTTTTTCTTGTGCTTCTAATGTTACAAATGCAACACAGCAAGGACTGTTGAGACAAGAAAACAAGTGTGAATGTAATCTGTCACTGTACAACCAGCTGCTTGTTAATCTGACGGTTGCAGACCAGGGTGCTAGCTAGCTGGGGTCGGCTCGTCCCCTGGTTTCTCTCATTTCTCTGGGAGATTACAGTATTATGGTCCTCATTTATATAATCCTGTCAATGGGATATAGCCCCCTTCTCTGTGCTACCCCCAAAATGAAGTGACTGCAGCATATAATCATTTAGGATACAGTTGCTCAACAGCTTATAAGATTGATGTGCTGCAAGAAGGTCATGGACCTTATGTTTCGATTGATTATACAAGTATTGTGTCTTTCTCTAGGATTTGACCCCCTGCTAGTGAAACTCCAATACTATACCGCTATATGGATATCCTCTCCTAAGTTCTGCATTCAGGAGGCCATGGACAGAGGTCACTGCAGTGGCACTTTTTCTATTCACATAGGATAAGATGCATTCTTGTAAATTAGAGGGAATATACAAGCTAATTGATATATTACTCAGTAATCTGGTGTTTACTGAGGTGAAGACCAATATTATCATATCAAGAATTCAGGTTTATATTGTTCGGATGTTCTAACAATTAGATTTTAAGCTTTCATGGACAAGTTTATTTGTCTCAAAATAAAAGTGGATATGAAAAATTTTCCTTTAGCAACCACAATCTGTAACCTGTAATTGTTGCTGCTTATTCAACTAGACCTACTTGACAACAGTTGCATTTGTGGTCAGTGTTAGCCTGCAGGAAAAGTCCTGCCAGCTCCATGAGTATTACACTGCACAGTGTTTGTCAGTTTGATTAGCATATATATTCTCTGCTTTAGCAATTTTGCAAGCAAGCTAACTTCCAGATGTTTTAATTTCTAATCCTTGTTTTTTTCCCCTTGCCTCCTGTTTCTTAATCCTCGCTACCTAAGTACTGTGGAGTCTGTCTGTCAGAGGATAATGACCAGAAACATTGTGAAAAGTAGGTAAAAGAGACGTGCATAACCCTTTTACAAAATATATCCATGTATTGTGTGACAATTCAAGACAATAAATGAGTAAAAGGACTGGTAATTTTATTGACAGTAATCTGAGCCAATTCATACTGACAAAGGATTAAAAAAATAATAATTTCAGTGAGAAAAAAAATCAGAGACGGGGGAGGTGGAGAGAAATGAGAGAGATCATCCAGATTTTTGTTAAAAAAAAAAAAAAAGAAATATAGGCTGTGACACAGAAGATATATCAAGACAGATACAGAGTTCAAGGGGGGTTTGCATTAATCTCACGTTGTAATGACAGTTTAAGGTTTTGGTATTCTGATGAATTCCAGGATTGGTCTTAAACTGCTTTCATTTTGTTTGCTGGTCTTTAATCTTCTAACCCTGCGTTTTTAATCAGAACTCAGAGCAGGTTTTTAATCTTGCATGAATGAGGCCGCGGATTACAGGCCTCTGACCTTGCCATGCCGCACAGCTGCTTCCTCCTCAAATCAAGTTTCTCTTCCTGTGTAGCTTGCAAAAGAGGATAATCTTACTTTTTGCGCTACAATGCTCCAAAATCCAAACTGTGCATGAAAGACACAAACACCAGGGAAGAAACCTAATTTTTGAGAGGGAAAACAAACGGGTCCAGTTCATAATGCTATGGTTTCTGAAGGTGATGCCAGTTTTGACAGACATCAGCTTGAGGATTTTCTACAGATCTGTGTCATGATATTTGATCTCTGTGGCATTATCACCATCTAATCCTTTTGACTTTTAGATGCAACACCAGTCGTCTAGTTTAAAGTTAAAGCTTTGTTTTCAGTGTGTGTTTCTGTGTGAGTTGACCTCTCAAAGATAGAATGAGTTTTATTAGTGGCTTCAGGGTTGCCCATGTAATTACCACTTTAACCTTGAGGATTGTGTTCTGAGGAAAACACAAGGAGATTGCTTTTTGCTTCATTGTCCCCAAATGCTACAGTAGCTATTTTAAAGGACACGAAACAACAAGGCCAGCACTGCCCAAACTCAGAGAAGAAGGAAGTTCATATCATAAGACAAAAACATCTTGACAAAATAGCTTCTTCAGTTTTGAAAGGGCCTTTGTAAAATGTCTATTGTGTTTAACCCTGGTTTGTTTGATCAAGCCTTATGCAAGCACCTCTCTGTTCTGAAATAAGAGGGAGTGCTCAGACCAGTTTCATTTCAAATAATAGTTCTCTGAACTCCAACAACTTTAAATCTCAACAAAAGGTTATCCTAGTTTGCTATTGCAGGATGGGTATTCATAGCTAAAACAGGTCTGCAGATGCAGTAAATAACTTGTTAGTCATACAATGATTCCTACTATGTTGTGATGTTTTCTCCTCAAACTTAGATCTTTTAACAAGGTCTGTATATTTGGTGGCGGTGCTATTTGTTATTCACATAAATTTAATTTGTTTACAAGAATAAGTAGCAAAAAAGGAATGTGGTTAACAATGAGTGAGAACGCATCACGTTCACTCAAATTGTTTCTTTTCTTGTTTTGTCTTAAGCTTTGAACTAAGATGACTTTCATGAGCACCGATGCTCAAAAAACAAAGCGTGGTCTGCCTCAGAACTGGGTTGCTGTGATGTCAGAGGATGAATGACATAAGGAAACACTCCAAAGAAAATAACTACTTTTCTTTTAAACAGGTGATAATGATACAGATTGTTTCACAACAGCTGAAATTGGAACATCTTTGAAAAGCAGCCAAACACATGCCATGCTTGTGCCTAAAGCAGTGCTTTTTTCAGATGGGAGAATCAGAACCTCTTGTTTCTTGCATATTGTGATTTATTGTATTTAATCTTTTTTTGGTAACACTTTACCATGAATGGAGGCAACCTGCCAGACCAACTTCAACACCTATTGGTACCAAAAGTATCTGCACCAACATGACTATATGCAGACCTGCACATGTATGCCTTTGTAGGCATTCGAGGAATATCTGCTACTGTTTTGACACACACAAAATGAACATAATTGCTTGGATACATTTGTAAGTCCGGACCATGATCTCTATGATTTCACTAGAGTGGGAGGGCCCCTTCTTTGCATCTATTGCATAACAAGTCTTGCACTGCTGGGTTACAGGGACGGCTGTCATACACACTTTACTTTTTTCAATTTCCTTACATAGCTTAGGTCAAATATAGGCTGAGTGTGCCTTTAATTTGAACCCTAGCTTAGTCTAATCTATAGTCCTAATGATTGTAGATCCAATAAATCTTTAGAAAATAGTTAAGTTCCAACTGTTAGATATTAGTGGTAGCAGTTACATAATTTTACTATTAGGTGGAAATAAATGAGTTTTGTCATAATCCATGTTCATAAAAAAACAACAAATTAATTTTGTTTACAATAACGCAAGTAGTTCTGAACCAGGTTCCCGTTCCTCCTTTAAAGCTTGGACCCAATTATTTTTTTGAATACCATTTTTTTTGTTGTTGATTATGTCATGTCCACCAATGCTGACTGAACAGTCTGACATCAGTGATATTACATGTTGTTTCAGGGGTTTTTTTTAACTAAAGTTTGTGGCTTAAACTTTACAAATGTTTTGCAATGTTAAGCCTTGAGCTTGCACAAAGATCTCTAGAAGAAAGCTTAATCTCTTGCAGATAACTCGCAGAAGGAAATATTCATATCATAGTGCTCTAGCCAGTCAATTAAGGCTAAGCATAGCTGGTGAGGTAAACTGAGTTGTACTTCCATCTATTGGCCAACTTGTGGTACTGTGCATGAATACAGGAGGAGAAAATACTCTTCTTGCTGGTTGAAAAAAAACAAACACCAAATGGTAACAAAATGTTGTTTATTTAAATCTGTAATGCAACAAAGCATTTAATAAAAAATATTCAACATGAAGACAGACCTTAATGTAATAGAATGCCATCAAAATGGGCTTTGGGTTAATGTGCAACAGTGCTTGAGATAAGAATACAAAGACTGCCTTTATCTTTTTGTATTACAGCATAAGGCACATTTTGCATCAAATAACATAACTCCCTATGTTCCCCTTAACACTTTCAGACACACTGGAACTATTCCTCAAATATCGGGGGAAACTTACAGTTACTCATTCAAACTATAGACTGGCATTCAAATAATGCTGTTAAGATATATTGTTAGCTGTAACAATTCCTTGTAATCTACTGTAAAAAGTTCTGTTAGTGCTGTGCATATTTAGTCAATGAAACAGCATAGTAGTAGAATAACACAGAGTGTGTTAAGAATATGACTAATGATTACAGACTAATTAGCCTAAAATCAAAGAAACGTCTTATTTTCAACTGTCTGTTATGTGTGCATGGGGTTGGGTGTGCAGTAAGAATTATTTTAGCCATCACAACAGTCAGGTTATATGTTTCCCTGAGAAAAACAAACTTCATTTTTAGAAAGGGAATTACTGGAAAATTGTCTGCACTTTTAAAGTGATGAATACTGTATTCTGTGTTAACTACAGTAAAATGCATATTAGAAATACAACAAAGAAGATCTGACATTTTGCTATGTCACTTTATACCTATATCAGGCTGAAAATCAGTCAGTGAAATACACAGGGGGATTACAGTATATACTTTAAGTCCACTCCCTGCTCCGTGGTCCTTCAAGGTTAGAAATGATAATGGAGATTATGTCCAATTATAAGCTGTTGTTCATGTTCAGACAGACATTGAGCAGAGAAGAGGGACTAGGGCAGCTCTGTGGAGAACCTGCCTCTTCTGTCTGTGCGCCAGCCTCTGGTGTAGCAGTTTGAACTGAGTCTGCAGGTGGCTTACTTGGGCAACACTCTGAAGAACAACTTAACATTTTGATAGTGATCTGGGACTCCTCATTTTTACCCACATGGCTAGGGGAGGAAATGGGGGAGTCTGGTGAGGAGACCTTGGCAAAAAGCTGCACGTGGTCCTGATCAGAGCCAGACTCAATGCTGACACTCTTACATAACTCGCACAGACTCTGCCGCGTCTCCTCCAGGTTTTGCTCCAGCTCAGTTCTCTCCTGCAACAGCCGCTCTTTCTGACTTTTCTGTAAAGGAAATGACAGTAACAATCATTTACAATCCTCGAATTCATACAAAAACTTACAACTGAAGATAGCTGTAAAATTAAAGGGTCACTCAATGGAGATTAGAAAAATATCTAGTCAGGCTTCACTGTTTTTTGTCTGTTTCTTTATTCGCGCTTCTTACCCTTTCATTTATGTTCCTTCAGTATTTAAAATTCATACGTTTTCTGGTTCAGCCTGTTGAATCTGTAAATCTGCTGTTCACCCTTCTACAGGTGCTACAGAATTTACACCAAAGTAATATCTATGACGGAGCGTGCAAGACTCGCTGTCATAAATAGTTTTTGTCTTGTGCTCCTCACAGAATTTTATTTAAAGTGGTGAGTTAGTGCACATTTTTGTCTGATCTCAAAATAATCCCATCAGTTAGCTGTGTAGGAAAGGCTACCATAATGATCTATGTACATTTCTAAACATTTAATAGCACAGTCAGGACTGCAGTAAATGCAAACATATTTTAGCTAAAATTGCTTACTTACTTTTACTTTTCATACCAAAAGCAAATAATAAAGCAGTTTTATTGATATTTTGCATTGTGAAACGTTACTTTTTCAGTATATAGATTCTCCTGGATTTGTACTCTGGGTTCCTAGCATACTGACCTCCACTGCAAAAATTACACTTCTTTGTTGTGGCAAATGGATAAGAAAAAAAAAGGTGGAGGCTGTGCAAGACACTTGTTTAGGAAGACAAAAAGTATTTCCATCAGCACTGCTGCAGTTGCTGCTGGTCACCACAAGAGGCCAACAAAGGTCACAAGACACTAAAATCAATCATCTCATGTATGACAACATGTTGAGAATGCCAGACAAATTTGAGGCAACTTACTAATTTTTTTATTTCACATTCCAGCTGCTGTATGCTGTCGAGTTTCCTCTTTCGGCAGCGCTGTGCAGCCACACGGTTTTTGCTACGTCGGCGGACGTCATGGACAAACTCCAGCTGGTCTTGAGTCAGGTGATGGTGTCTCAAAAGCTGCTGGAAAGCACTTCGAGTCAGCGTTGAGATCTGCTCCACTGGGAAAGGGAGTTGAATCTGTAGAGTACATGGTTTTAAAGTAAGATTTATTTTACTGAATATATTCATCTATCAATAACCAAACACCAGCTGTGTATCAAAATGACCTCTGCTGCTCTTTTGTTGTTGGCCTCAGTATCTCCATCTGTGTCCAGGTCTGACTCGTCCCCAGAGTTGAGTGAGGATGACATGTAGGGGCTCTTCTCTGACTGGGAAAGGCTGTCGGTGCGTGGTGCCGAGTCATCACTGGTCCCAAAGTCCCTGAGGAAGGGACAGTCTCCTACACTGGAGCTCAGGTCCAGCTGCTTAAGCCAATGAAAGTCTGATGCTTTTGCCAGATTGTTTTGGTCCATGGGTTCTAAGGGGAGTGGTTGAGCTTGAGACGGGCACAGGTCAGACCAAAATCCCTTTGCCAGATGCTCAGCCACCTCCCTCTCCACGCTGCTCCTCTCCCCAATTCCCTCTTCGTGGCTTAGAGCAGTTAGTGTAGGGTCTGAGAAATCACCTTCCATTTTCTCTTCAAGGCCAGCCACACTCTGCTCTAATAACTCACTGCAATCTTCCGCCCCTGATGTGTTGAGTGGACATGAACTGGGGTTACAGTCAGTTTCAGCACCAAGCGTCTCGACAGTCTGCTTAACATCTCTGCCTGCTGACTCAATGAGTTCTGGCGGATTCCCATCCCCTGGGGTTGTGAGCTCACAGGGCAAGCCACAGTCTGCCAAACTCAACTCACTTTGATTACACACATCTCCTATCTCTAAAATGTCTCTTTCGCAGAACTGAGAGGGATGATCTGTTTTGTCAGAGTCTGGGCATGGCAAAGACAACATGGGGCACACACCATTTGCTGTTAACTCCAGAGATAAGGGGGCCATTTGTGGCCCACAGTTCTCCAAACAGAAGTGTTCTTCCCTGCTGTTCGTTTGACCCTCTGCGCTTGGAGGACACTGTGATGGGAAATCTGTTTGTTCATCACCTCTTGAAGGCACTGAGCTGTGTGACTCAAATGATTTTGGTTGGCTGCTCTCTACACTAGGGCCAAAACTGGCACTGGGATCCTGGCTCTGACAACAGGCTCTACGCCTGACCTCCTGTGAGGTTCTTTTACCTTCAGAAAACTTTGGGATGAGGAAATCAAAGCATGCTGACTCCAAGTTATGAAATCCTAAAAACTCTGCACTGCTGTGAATGGCGTGGATGTTTTCTTTGGTGAAGGGAAGCTTTGATGTGTAGGCAAATTGAAGCAACGGTTCAAACCCCTCAACGGTCACCTGTGGGGAAAGGAGATACAGCAAATTGTTGGGGTACAATAAAACTCACACTATATACTATAACCAACAACTGTAACTTAATAAGACCTTATCAGAAAGGTAACCAGCTAATAAAGGAACACAAGGTATCCAGAATTATAGGTATTTGTATAATATATTTCCTGAAATGTATAGCTTGAAATGCAATAAAGCCCATACTACATGAAAAAGCTCAGTACTCGGTACTAACACAGGCCTCTAAAATCAACAAAGCCTGAAATAGCATAGAGCTGTAATAATTTCTGCAGGGCTGACAGATACATCATTGTCACGGACATTTTGATGTACACGTGTGCTCAGGCATGAGTCACATTGCAAGGGCTGCAAACATCTACTGCTGGAGAAAACAGATACTGCAGTGTCTGCAATTTCCATGGCACATCTTGAAGAAAAGGTTCTCAGCCATGCGATAAAAATGTAGTCTTGTTCAGAGACTTTTTGGTAGCTAGTCTTCTACATATACATTGCATGCTGCGCCTTGCTAAGTGTGATATAATGTTTTAGTAACTGACAGATGGGCTCTTTTCTTTCAGGATGACAAAAGTTCATTATTATTTATATTGTGCTGATTATGGACTTCAGTCTTAATTTATTGGCGCCATGATATGTATCCTCTAAAGTACAGACCTGCCTTAAATTTTCTACTGTAGAAAATCAGATCACTCAGAAGTCTATAATAAAAAAACTGAATTCAGAAGTGCAACATATTGGTAAAACTGGGTCAATTTTTTTCCCCAAATCTCTCGACAGAACAGCAGGACACTGACCTCATCAGGCAAGGTAATGATGGGATTCTGTCTGGTGACACTGGTAACCCTGCTGTGAAAGTATTCGCTGCAGGAAGCCAAGACAGAGCAGTGGGCCCGAAAACCCCTGCTTTCGACCACCACCGTCACATCACACAGGATGTCCCGCTGCCTCTGGTCATTCAGACACTGGAGAACATGGGCGCTGTGCACTGCAGACTGAAAGGTGAACACTGACATGCGGGGAGCTTGGAGCGACATGGTTCTTACAAGCTCAGCCTGTGTGAGAGGGAGCAGGGGAGAATCTCAAGGCATCATGATCACAATGCACAGTTTGTCAAAACAGACCACAGTGTGGATTCTAGCTGCAGTGATTAGTTGATGATCGATCAGTCTGTTGACAGAAAATTAATCTGCAACAATTTTGATAGCTCATTCAATTAATTGATTTGATAATCCATGAATAAATCGATAATGAAATAATCCTTAGTTGCAGCCATAGTGGATCCTGACTTTCGGAGAAGGTGCAAAGTTGGTGAAGGGCAGCTTTTACATAGTGAGGCTGAACCTTGAGGTTTAGATGAACATTTTTAAAAGAATCTAAGACGGTCACTCAAGCATTACTAAAATAACTTTTAACATACAAAAAGCTAAGGATTAGTTTACTGTCTAATAACACTTTTCCACAGGAATCTACATTACCTAATAGATATTACTGTTGTGGGCAGCAGAAAAGATAACAGGACAGTCAAATGACCTGCCTTTATGCAAGACACTCTACTGTACCTTATTATTCAAGGTAATTGCATGTTCCAGTCCGACTTCAGTGAAAAATAAATATGATTTACGTGTAACCAAATGTAATAACTTATATTGACATTGTTCTGACCTGGATGAATATTTAGCGGGACAGCTGTCTGATAAAATGTTATTAGCTCGTAAGCTTTTAGGTGATCAGGAAGTTACTGTAGCCAGGATTTAACTGTAACACGGTGACTTGGGCAGCAAAATGCTGACTCATGTTTAGCCAAGTTACCCAACTGAGCATGGTGGTGGCGAGGCATACCGAAAAGTGACCAAAGTAACAACAAGAACGTTACGTTATTAAAGACTGACAACGTTTTCATAAAGATACTTATGTCATTGGTCGAAAATAATATCCACACGGAAAGGCTTTGCGCTAGGCCAGACCGCTAGCTATACTTCTCCACCGAGCGAACACATCTTCCTGTTTTTTGCTAAAGACGAAGACAATCTGAAACAGTGTTTTATATTAATTTAAAAAGGCTATATATAGTCACTGACCTGCCATGTCAGCTTGACAACACTGCCATTGGTAATTTTTTGAAGATGTTTCTGGCCATCCGGACCCAGACTTTCCTCTTGTCATGTGACAATTTGGACCAGGAAAAATTGTCAGCACTTACTGCGCATGCTCAATGCAAGAGTCAGCAAGCCAGCACACAAAACAGGAAATAGTCTTCTTATTTTTGAAGCATTTCATTACATGACTTTGATAAAAAATAGACATATATGTTAAACAAATTATTTTTTTCCAACATTCATTTATCTCCTGAAACAGATTTTTGCAACAAATTCCAACATAATTATCCGTTCAATGTCCATCTTGACTTTCATTGCACACCTTGCCATTTTCTCATGGGTGTGAGAAACATACAGCTGGTCCTGTTTAATACATGAAACACTGCGTGACACCACTGTGATGAAAATGTCAACACTGTCAAATATCCCTTCCGCATAACTGATATCATTTCATTTCAGTCCAGTTTGAGTCACTGACAATGCTGATTGGTTAACTGTTTGAGATCCCTTATACTATGGAGCTGAAGCAGCAGCATTAGGTTGGTTTGTTTGTTTAGATTTCCTGAGAGATGAGGCACCGATCGATTAGAGGATTCTTTCATAGAAGAGGAGGTAGGCTTGGCAACTCTGGACTTTACTCTCGCTCACAGGCTGAACACTTGTGTCGCTGATATGGAACCAGGATCCTCTGGGTGGCTCTGCAGGGCCTGAGAGGAAGTGATGAGTTAATGGAGACAGATAAAATGTTACGACCAAGTTATTATTTTACTGACTGTCATGCCCGAGTACACTTACCTTCAGCTGCAAGTCCATTGGATGAGGGTTTAGGGCACTCAGGTCGTGCTTTCACATACGCTGTGTAATGACCTGACCTCATTGTTCCACTGTGCTCTACAATACCGTACAAACTGTACAAAATATGAGTATCTCCCTCTGTCAAGTTCTGTTCGGACACAACAGTTTGTTAGTGAAACTATAATAAAACAATAATACATTTAGAAATGGACTGGTAAAAGTACTGATATTTAATAAAAGCTGTCAATCCCAATATTTACCTTGCATTTAACCGCACAAAAGGGAGCTAGATCCAGTATCAGGGGGAACTGGACATGTCTGTTCACCTTACAAATACTGTATCCATTCTAGAGGAAAACGAGAAAAGTGATCTCATTAGAATTCCATAAAAAGGAAGTGTTTCAGTGCCTCACAAATGACAAAAAAATGATCAAAACATAACATGTCATGCTTTTTAAATAGGTGGTTCAGAGCTGCGTGAATAAAAAACAGCTTGGCTGACAGGATTAAAAGGTATAAAGATGCTGAAATGTTCTTCAACTGTCTTACTTGTTGAAATCTCTTCAAATGAAGAGTTAGCACTGGTGGGGGTGAGGAGATCAGCATTTGCTTCAGAGCATCAGTGTAAATATTCTTCTTGGATCCTAAACATAGCACAAATAAAGGTGATGAACTTCAGTTCAATAATCCCCAAATGGAAAAGTTAGTTGCTTACACAAAAAGAAGCAGCAAAACATTAGGAAAAAAACACCAAAGATGCACAATTTAATTGGCTTCTTGCCTTGTTAGAATTACTGGATTTGTGATACTGTACTGCAAAAAATCTACAAATATGTAAGTCACAGAAATTCTACATACCTCCGGGTTTGTCTCTGCTTGGCTGCCGTTTAGTGCAGGTGACACATAGCAGGCTGTTGTTCTGTGTGAGAGTTTCCACCTCTGTGAACTGAAAAAGGCATGATTGGACCGAACACTCCTGTTTCTCAGGGGTCGTCCTGGTAGCCAGTGTGTGGAAGGCCAGCTCTGGGTCCTCACTTACAACAGTGTACTCTTTGGTCTCAAGTGGCTCATCTTCACTCTCCATGCTTTGTTCCACAGCATTAGAGTCTTCTATAAAGGCATCATCCAGGGTTACCTTCTCCATCTCACCCACCAGCTGCATTTCCTCTTCTTCTTCCTGATCCATGTCAGATACTTTATCATCAGCTACAATGCTGTCCATTAAGTGCTGCCCCTCTGATAAGATGGTAAAGCGGTTGCTGACTGATGACGTCGCTGATGAGTCACAGTTGATCACCTCGTCCTCACCCTCTTCTTGTTTCTCCTCATCCTGGACTGTGTCATGATTCTCCTGGTCCTGATCAGTTACACTGATTTGTGCAGGATTTCCTTCACTTTGCGAGGTTTCTTCATTTATTTCAGAGTCAGCATTTTCCCCATCCTTTGCATCTCCGGTAGGATCGGTCTGTTCACTCTTTGTGTGGCTCTGAGACGAGAGACTGTCCAAAGTGGCTCTGCCCTCAATCTTCTGCTGCCTCTTTTGATGCTGTAAGCCAAGTTAAGAAAACAATACAGACTATTTTGTTTATTCTGCACAATCATCAAAAATTACTTAATGCAATATTAAAACAAACTTCTGTATACATTTATTGAGCTACCTTTGCCTGCTTCTTTGCCTGCTTCTTGGCTTTCTTCTGCTGGTACTTGCTGCTAGACCCGGTGGGCATGTCATCATTCCCATTTGTCAAAGCAGGGCTGTTTCTGCCTTCCTGGCTTGACTCACTGGTCTTCTGAACTGCTTTTTTCTGGTTCTTCTTTCTGTATGCCTGCAAACGTAGTCGCAAGAGGGTACATGCGTCTAACAAAAATAAAAAATGAAGAAACAGTTGCTCAACAAATTGTCAGAAAACACTCCTAAGGGCTTTACCTCATCAGAAACAGGAAGGGAAAGATCCAAAAACATCTCGGTGACTACAGACACCTGTAAGTGCAAAGCAGTGGCCATTTAGCTTGAAATCGACATGACACTGACAGGTTATTTTAAAAAAAAATTTCACAATACATACTGTTTTACACTGCTGACACATTATAGTGCTGGTCATTTCCCCACTAAAAACTTGGTCCACAAAGTTTTTTGGAACACCATTTTTCTCGTATTCTGAAATCAGAACTTAATTGTCATGGGCTACATTTAACTTACTTTAACTTACTATATGATATGGTATACGAAAATATGACACTGACTTCAAGATGTTTAAATTAAAGCCCAGTTACTTACCTTTGACCAGTGTTTTCAGCTGCTCTCCATCTGTGCCTTTTCTAGATAATTTCAATGCCTCCATGATCCCAGAGCTTACTCTCTGTAGAGACAAACACAATCTTAAATGTAAAAGGATAAGAGAAAACTTTTGATGAATCACAAGGAGGAGCTCTTGCAGATAAAAGATATACAACATTTTCACAGAGTTAAATTAATTTCAGTCTCTTAACACTCTGGATTGCACGCTCTTATAAAACCTCCTCTCTGTGAAAATTAACCAACCTATCAGAGTACCTTTCAGGGAGAGCAAAATCCCTAAGGCCATTAAATGAGAAGGGAGAAAATACTATTTAGCCACGATTCTTTGCATTTTACATCTAACATGTCCTTGATTTGTGACTTAATTAAGAATCTGAATGACTTGGTGCCAATGAGCCTGAAATAAGAAATTTAAGTGCCCAGTGCAATACATAACAGCTGGCTTACAAGCACTATATTCACAGCAGTACTGTCCTGCTGTCAACACACTATACTGCCATGTAACACATAGCCACTTGAACAGCTACAGAATCAATTTCAAGCGTGACATATAAAGCGATCTGTTCAAAACTGAATGCATACTTTGATCTCCTCAGCTCGCATCCCATCCAGAAGGTAGCGCAGCAGCTCCTGGCTATCTTGCTGCTGAAATCCTTTGAACCTGGCAGCCCTGCAGAAAGGAGACGAGAAAATGAACGACACTTAATGTAATGATGCTAGGAAGTACATTTTAAACACATCTTAACGTAGAGTTCCACCTCAACTTGTAGTCACACTCACTTTTTGCAAACTTGTGTGAACAACTCCCGCGGTGTTACCACACCCTTCTTGGATTCCTGGATCTCATTGAGTAGTTGACACATAGCCAAAGTCAGGGATCCAGGCTGGTCTAACTGCATTACAATAGGCTCCTGCAACCATAATAAAACCGAGTCTTAAGGAATAAATAGTGTATATTAGGCAGGATAAATCTATCAAGTTTACAGTTAAAAACAAACATTGAAAGAATAATGGCAACCCACCAAATCCGAGGAGGCATTGGGTTTAATGTTAACACTCATGTTCTCTTCTGTCACTTTGTTGAGAGTCTGTCTTAAAAGCTGTGTTTGAGAGAGATTCTGGAAAAGACAATAACAGCAATTAATGATAACAATAGACTTCATGACTTCTCTCATTTTTACTCAAGACTATCATCCTATCAAACACAATCTTACCTGAATTACTGCATTAAAGAAACACGTATTTCCCAGGTTGCTCAGCCCCTTTACTGAAACACCACCACTATCTTCAGATGTGCCAGACTTGTGTGATTTCGCAGCACTCTCTTTCTTTGCATTTTTCTTTTGCTGGTCCTTATTTTCTTTGTTTTCCTTGTCTTCACTGTCCTCCGTTTTTACAGTCTCTGTCTTCTGATCAACTTCTAACAAACTGTCTTCCTCCTTCACTCCTAAATAAGAAAACACAACATGGCGCGCATGGTCATAGAGACATGTCATTTTTAATAATTTACATTTAAATAAACCATCAGATCACAGTAATGTTAAACTTTCCAATAGGACCTACCTTTCTGTGGTCTCTTCACGGGATCTACAGAGGTCTGCTTTTTTAGGTTGGTCACCAGCTGAGCCAAATGTCCAGTTCTGGAGTACTGGACTACATCATCACATATGTAACACCTGTAAGTTTGGTAACACATGAAAAAAACTACTTGTACTTCTCATTTCAATCACAACATAAGCCTCTGCAACTAACACACCACAGCAATATACTAACTTACCATACACTCCAGTTGTCCAAACTGATCACTAGACAATGTGGATCCGACCGCGGAGTCTCATAATGTTTGATGGCATGCTGGTTCTCTGAGTTTCGTCCACATCCCTAGTTAAAAAGATGCATCCAGTCATTTAGGAAAATGTCACTTCAGACACTGTCAAAATCTGAATGATAAATGGGTTGAAAAACTCACTCTATGGCCACATTTCAAACACATCCATACAGGTTGTTCCTCTTCAGGGTCCTGAAGCACAGGGATGCTGACATTTTCTTTATTTTCTTCATGCTTACAATCCTGGCAACTCGTCCAATCCGAATTGCCAGAGAGTTTCTTCAGAAGAGTTTGGTCTGTTCCCTTCTTGATATGCCTGCAGGATGGACCTATGGAGATAAAAACACAATGTGGTAAAAGTCACCCTAGGCCTCCAACAGGTTGTCATTTGACATGAAAAATGATAACTTTTTTACCTGTCAGGTCAATGTCATCGTCCTCTCTGGAGCTCTTGTCCTTCCCCCTTTTCTTTCCCATTTTTACCTAACATTAATTAGAGATTAATGGAATCAGCCACACAGCAGTTACCACAAATAAAGCTAGGTTTGGCTAACAGATACATCATATCATATAGCTGCTTAACACAGTTTAGTGCCGATGCATTTAGTACCAGTAGCAATCAAGTAGCATTTAACTCCGTGAACATCCTCAGGGTCCAGTTAACTTACTGTCGCAAACGGAGCCTAAAACCTTAACAGTTTTCAGTTTCGTTTACTTTGTGTGGATTAATTCTCTCATCCGGACATAGTTAACTTGGTTTAAGGATTTTGGCCGTAAAATCCAGGTCTCCGGATAAGAAAGGGGCTCTACAAAGTTTAAAATTCGCGAAAAATCACTCCGCTGATTTGGCAGAAAAATCCCAGCTGACACATGCAGACAACAGAGGAACAAAATGTAATGGTGCCGCTGTTTCTGCTGCTCGGTGTGTTTCCTGTGTGCGTCGCTTGAAACAGTCCGAGTCGAAACAACGCTACTGGCCACGGTACAGCACTAGCAGTGAGATAACTCAAGTTGGTCGGGTGTTTAACTAGCCTGCGTGTTCAGCTCCTTCTGTATATAGCTTAATATATTTTATTAATGCTAGACGCTTGACAAGACTTTAAACGACGGTATATTTGAATGCTGACACCGTTTACTTTAAACACGGATTGTTCGTGTAAAACAGCATTGAACATCACGCTCTATCAGTATGTCTTACTTGGAGTGGGCAGAGTCTCAGCTTGCAGAGATAGAGCTACTGACCAGCATGTTTCCCACCCAGGAGGAGCTGGAGATCACAGACCAGCTGGCACTAGCTGAGCTCAGGGACTATGTGGAGGGCTCAGCTTCAGCTGACAGTCCCCCTCCCTCGAGACCTCACTTTCTCATCAAGCAGAAGCTGGACACTGCAAGCATGGAGAGGGTAACTGAATAACCGACTGCCATAGTATGTCACTGATTTAAATGCACCCTCAGTCATAATTGTTTTCTGTCTTTTCTTATTTTGTTGCTCCACTCAGGCGGATGTTGTTGTGTCCTGTGCTTATCCATCCGAATATCCCAGTGTGTTACCAGAGATAACAGTCCGGTAAGCCATTATCCACTCTTAATGTGTAGTGAAGTGATGAACTCATCACATTTGTAATACAAGAACGTAAATAACTAATTTGCTTAGATTATAGTTATTATGAAATGTGCACACAATTGTTGATTTAGAAACTTGCAAAACAGCAACACAATATGTTGGACACTGTACAGACCATAGACAGTATAGCCTATACCGCTGGGATACTCAGCTTGCTGTGCCCAGGGGCCAGTTTTGCAAAATGACTGCCTTTGACGTTTGCTATTCTGTGTCATCTTTGCAAAGAGGCAAACCCAGCCACAGCAGCGCCATGCAGGTTGGTGTCCGCAGGGGTGTTTCTAGGATTCAAGAACATTTAGGGCGTAGCCCGGAGCTCTGTAGGGGAGCTGGGGGATCCTCCCGTGCCAGTTTTTTGGATAAATAAGATTTATTTTGATGCTTTTTATGGACCCTGGCACCTTATTTACATTGAAAGTACAAACAAATCTCAGTATGAATCAGTTTATTTGCATTGTTAATTACAAAATGCAGGCCCACTAGCACACTATTGCTATACAGTCTATGGTTTATGTCTGTGTATACAGTGAATGATAGAGTCATCGGTGTTGAATTTTTTTTTCATCCAAAAAAGTTTTCCATTTAGAGATCATGTGTGAATTGGAGCCAGTTATCAAATGTCAAATTAGCTCCTGCAACCTGACAGCTCACAATGTTGTAACATTTTCATAAAGCCTCCACATCATGCAGACATTAGTAACTCAAGCACACACATCTCACCTCTGCAGTTCAGGCTTTCAGGTTTATGGAATGAAAGCTTTTACTGACAGAATGGCAATGAGCCATAAAAAGAAGCCAAGGACAACATTGCAATTAATGTGGTCTAGTGTGAAAATAAAATGATAGAAAATTACATAGATGAACATAAGACACAGAGGAAAGGGTGTGTGTGACTGCAACAGAAAGTAAGAGGGTATTTTCTACTGTTAGGGTGTTGGAAGTTAACAAGTCAGCATGGTTGAATACACATAGCATACAAATAGCTGTGGGTTGTGTGTGATCACTTTATGAAGTTGTTAAGCTTAACATTAAATAATCTTTTTTAAATCTTTATTAAGAAAAGCTGTATTAAAGCTGCACACCAATGGCAGCTAATGAGTAGCAGTCTTGCCTAGAGATCTAGCAGAGTTTAGGTTATATATGTTCTGTGTATCACAATGTAAAATAGTGCAGCAGCAGTAAAGAAAAAAGACCCTGTTAGTTGCTTCCAGAAATTACTGTATTGAGGGTACTCATTCATATTGATTAGTAAGCCTTTCAACCTTCTGAAGATCAGTTATTGTGTGCTATTTTGTAGTTTAAATATTAGCCTCTACAGGATTTCTATCAGAATCTTTTGCTTCCAAGGATGGGAACTTCCAGCTCCAAGTGGCCTTGAATATTCTCTGAATCCATCTCACAGCATGTTTTATTCGTGCCCTAGGTGTGCGGGTCTCAGCAGGGCCCAGCAGACACAGCTCCACACAGATCTCAATGCACACCTTATGGAAAACTGCCAGGGGGAAGTATGTGTGCTCTCTGCTGTGGACTGGGTGAAAGACAACCTGCAGCTCTTCATTAGTAAGAGCTTATCAGCAGCAGCCGCTCCTAAGAAAGAGTCTTCTTCTCCACGCCCACAGGAAGTGTTCAGCCGATTGTGGATTTACAGTCACCACATTTACAACAAGACGAAAAGGAAGAACATCTTGGAGTGGTCCAAGGAGCTGGGCCTGTCAGGATTTAGTATGCCTGGGAAGCCTGGTATTGTGTGCGTGGAAGGTCCTCATTCTGCCTGTGAGGAGTTCTGGTCCAGGTATCTTGAGTGTTGATATTTTTAGCAGCTGATGTCACAGCCAGAAGCCTGCTGAGGTCCCAGTTTTATTATTTTTCCAAACTTTTTCCCATTTCACAGAGTGAAGGTTCTGACATGGAAGAAGATCATGATTCGACATAGAGAGGATATTTCCCTTGATCGTCCAGGCGAGGACAGCAGAACTGGTGAAAGTATAGACTCCCTGCGCAAATTCACAGGCTTTGAAGAGGCAATGTTTGACCCCCATGGGAACAGAGGTAATCACATGGACCTTGGGCAGCTCTACCAGTTCTTAAATGAGAAAGGCTGTTGTGACGTCTTTCAAATATATTTTGGCATTGAAGGTAGGTAGTTGTCAGATCCAGAGAATGAGTATACATAGGTAACTGGTGCCTTGTCATTAAAGTCACTTCTCCTGAAAATAAGTGTTACCTTAAAAATGGAAATGCATTCATTATTGTTTATTTTTAGCTTTTGTTTTACATACAAGCACACAAATGGGTTTTGAGCATCTGGTCAGATGTGCCTGAAATAACTGAATAACCATTTTACGGATGTTGCTCAGCTGTTACACCTGGGACTTCATTCGGATAGAAGGCAGAAAGAACATTTCTGCAATTTTCAGAAACTAAAACTTCTTTTTAGCTAATAGGCATGTTTTTCAAAAAGAAGCATTAGAAAGATGTTTATCTGAGAGTTTTCTCGAGGAGCTCAGTTATATTTGCAATTTTAATACTCCTGCAAGGATCACACCTTGCCCTAGGTGTTTCTTTCCTCAAATGGCACCGCTGTGTATTACTGCCAGGCTATTATAGGATTTTCAGGTCTGATACCACATTAATAATTGGACAACATAGTCAACAATCTGCTAGATATCTGTTTATGAAATCTGTTGATTTTCCTCTTATGAATTATAGATAACATAACCGTGGAAAGTCTTGCTCTCCAATTTTCTTTGAATGATTCGTTCTTAGATAAATTGTGCATAATTGTGGATTACACTCTGGTAATTAAAACGTGTGGGTATTGAACATTTAAAAATATTCATATAGATCTTTATGTGGATTTTGTATGTTCCACTGGGGTTCAGTGGAAGGTTATCGTGTCAAATATATAGTCCTGGTGCCACTAAATGGATATTCTATTGGTGATTTTATCAGCAAGAGCATTCCTTACAGTAATCACTTATATACTATATCCATTTTTAGTATCATACCACCACCCTACCATATGTGTCACACATACACAATTACAAGACTGGTGGGACAGGGTGTCCTAATGCTTTGCAAATACCACTAAAAATTATCACCTCAAAGGAGTTTGAACCCTGAGTGACATTTCAGAGTTCAGACTTTGTTAACAATTAACTGTACTTTTTAGTAACCTACTGATTTTTCACCTGGACTGTGGTGCAAGATCAATACTAGATGACCTGCTGAAGTCCAGCTTGACATAGAGTTATTATGATGACAAGAATTCACAAGGACACACCACTTGAAGACAAGCTGGTTCAGTAGTTTGAGGCAATGGATTGTATTTACTTGGAAATTTGCTTGGGCTAAAATTCCCAGCAGATGGCAGCATTATATAACCAAAGTTGGAAAACATGACATCCTTAGATGGTACCTGTGATTTCTGAATGTTAACATATTTAACTCTACTAAAATGCATAATCCTTAAAAAAAAAAAAAAAAAAAAAAAGACCTGCATTTGCCTAAAATTAAGCAAAAGTACAATACTGCTTTACTTAAGAATATTTGCAGGTAATACTTGGATCAAGTATGAAAATATATATATTTTTAAAAATGTAACTTTTATGAGCCATGCAGATTAAAATGTTAATTCTATGGTGTTAAAAGGTAATTGTGGACTTTTAAAACATCAATACACTAACAACAACAAGGAGTTTCTCTATAAATGCTATAAAATACCTCACATGCCTCTACATTATCTTATGTGCATTTTTTAAAAAATGGTTTAGCTTTTATATTTATCTAAGATTTTGTAACTGATGAGCTGACACCAGATCAAGGGATGGCTATGAGGGGGGCTTTGTCAGATTTGAGTCCCAGGTGTCTTTTGTCCTGGGAGATGTTGGTCCTGGTGGTCTCCTGTTCTGCTCCTCCTCATGTCACGGATTCTTGCTTTGCCCCCAGAGAGTAGATACTCACTCAAGTCAGACCGCTAACTTGCCTCTTTAGAAGTCTCATCAGAGGGCTCTTCTGTCTGTTTGTTTACCAAGCAGAGCTCAACTCCCAGGTGCATCCACAACTTCAGCTTTTCCCCCAAGACAAGACACTCTGAATCAGGGTGAGCAACCTCTTCCACCCCCTCATCCTGTGGTTCTGGGTTTAAAATCCCTTGCTGAGTAAGCATTTCTAGTGCAAGGTGTCTAAACTGAATCAGTCAGTTGATGCCTTTGTCATAACTGTACTTTATATGGCTGTGACTAAACAGTCTTCACTCCTCTAAATAACCAGCATCAATGCAACTTCAACTGGCTTCATTTTATGTTTACTCAAACTAGTTAATAAAATATATACATACAGTAGGGGTCTGGACCTTAGCTGTGGACACATTCATCACTGTAGTATGGTATCGACTCAACATTTCAAGGACTTTCTTAAATATCAAAAGAATAAACAATAAACACAAGCAGAAAGGAATAAAATAATTTGATCAACATTTGTACATATGCATTACAGGATTTGAAAATGTGTCAATCAAGCAATATTTCTGCCATAATATTGCTGAGCATCTCTAGCCTCATCTGTGTGGAGTTTGGGTTAGCTGGACATTGGTCGATATATCGTTAAATGATCTGATATGAATCACGAAGAATACCTCTTTTCTACATTTAAATATCACCTGCCATTTAAGGTGATGATTTACATAATTTCATAGTAGATTTGTTAAAGCAATGACCAGTGGACTATGAATTGCCAACTTTTGTAAGAAATCAGTTGTGAATGCTCTTTCAATAAAGACAGAATTTGTTTTTATTCCACTCTGTTAATTTGCTTCATTCTACGCACAGATGACTTTCAAGATGCGTCATTGATTTCCTCTTTCATTTTTTTCGGCCATAAATATACAACAGTACACCTACAGAACAGCAGATTACACATCCTAAAGATTACTTGAAAATACCAAAGTGCTAATTCAAAGGAAATGTGTTGACAAGTGTTTGAGTTACTGTATGGCTTACTAGATAACATCACAGTGCTCCTTTGCTTACTGTTACACTTTGTGAATGTCCTTCATTCCTTGGTAAGTGAACTGATGAGTAGCACCTGTATGTTTCAGGATATGATCCTGATATTGCCAAAAATAAATGCCCTTCTAACTAAAGCCATGATGAATTTGTGCCTTGAGGCATGGCTGTGAATGACCAAGTGGAAAATGACAACATATCTAAGTCATGGCCACCTGTTCCCTCCATCAGAGGTTCACAGACGATATCTACCTGCTAGATGTGACTATGTAGTTTCTAGTAGTTTTAACTGCAGTGTCTAGAATACTGATGCTCACCAGTGGAACAGTGTTATTGACCTGTGCTGCAGCTACAGCCGTAGTGCAAATCATTAACACTACCTCTGGTCAATACACGTCAACAACACCTTAACAGGTCAAGTGTGGATCACTCCGTAGCAGTTTAACTATCTTCTTTGTTATCTTAACCCACGTCAGTATTCTCCATCCTTACCCTCCAACAGACAAACAGTGCCGTCTATAAGAGGTAGAACAGTGGCTGATTTTTGACAGATTTATAAAATTAAACATTAACCTTCAGGGAAAGAGAGCAGAGCCCATTTCACACAGCAAATGCCATATGAATATGTGTGTATTATTCAGGCCCATCATGTGACAAGATGCATCAGTATGAATGGGTGGCTTTGCTCATTCACGAAGCGATTTACTGGGCAAAAGGGCTAAAAGTTCTACACTGTATGCCCCATACAGATACAATACATAATACTAAATGAAAATCTCAAAGCTGAGGAGTCACTCTAACCTGAGTAATTAATTCCTTTCATTTCTGGAGTAGAGAACCAACTCACAGACTGCACTGTATATACACTGTATAAACTTACAGTTTTATGAAAGTATATGGAGGCCATTTAATTTATGATGATTATCCTGCCTACCTGGGCACTATGGGTTCGGGCTCCACATGGGAAATGTCAATGAGACGGCTCAGCAGATCAAGGTTTTGCTCTGAGTATCTGGAAATCTTAGGGGTGCTTTTCCGTTTCCTCTGATCAGGGGTCTCTGCGACACTAAAATCATTATCACAAAACTACAGGGACAGGTGGCAAAGGTTGGGGCAGTGGTGGTGTTCATTTCCTTCCACTTTCCTGCCTCACAGCATTTCATTGTTCTGTGACATATTAATATTTTTACATTAAATGAAAGCGGGGAACAGGACCGCACCTAAATGGCTAAGACTGTTGGTAAGACCATTGCATACTTTTATCTCTATCATTGAATTACTGGGGTGACATTGAGGATTTGAATCATGAAAGGAATGGAAAAACACACACATACACATACACATACACATACATACATACACACACATCAGCCTCTGAATCAATCAACTGAGACTTTTGCCACTGACAACATTTCTGGAATCTCCTGAAACTCATCATCCATATTGAATTTCCACAGATGTATTCATACCCCATGTTTGATGCAATGAGCTATCGATCAAAACCCAAACATGTAGCCTTGATTTAATGAGCCTGCCTTTACAGTATAATAAGCAAAAATAATGTACATTTTCCTCCTACAGAGCAGTGCATGATGCATAGATAGAGCTATTGATGCATCATAGAGCTATTGATGCAATCTGCATATATGGGTTAGATTTAAAAACAGTTTCAACCATTTCTGTTGTTGGTCTTTTGTTTTCCCTGCTTGACTTCACAGCATGTTGTTAACACTTTACTTTAAGTCCCCCTTTTTAGCAAATATAAGCAGTATGCAAACATTTAATAAATTGTTTATGCCAGACTACTAAATCTTAAGCATGTATTCATCAAGATGTATAATTCCTCTTCTGGACACTCAGTGGAGGCTGCTCTCAGATAATTAATGACAGTAAAATGCAGTTGTGATATTCATAGGAAAAGATGTAATTGCTGACAAATTATGTACATTAATAAGCACTTCAAATGTCCACATATCTTCATACAACTACATTATAGTGTGTTATAAACCATTTATCTAATGTTTGCACACTGCTTATGCTAAATAGGAGGACTTCAAATGAAGTGTTTATACCATTTTGTCTTCCCACTCTAGGAATACTTTTGACGATGCATGGTAAATAGGATCTGTAGTCGATGCAGAGTATATAATAGCTTGGAAAATGACTGCAGAAATCCTATCCCTTGTTCTTGAAGCCCATTTTGGCAACTCTTTGTGAAAATCATTTTTACATTAAACTTCATTCACACATGATTTACTGGTATTTTTCTTTTTTTCATCATTTCAGACAATAACCCAATTCTGTAGGTCTATTGAACTGGTGATGCATATAATTGAATTAGTTTTGAACGTCATGGTGAGGTATTTCAACACAGGGATTTCATCATGTCTCTATAGCTGGCACTCTTTCACAGAGCCAAGCTAATATAAATAGTATTGTTTTGAATTACTTGAAGCTGCAAACACTGAACAGAAGGTTTTGAGAATTTGGATATCCAAAACTTAGGCTTAGAAATCTTCACAGTCCTGAAAAAGATGTAAACCACAGTAGCTTCATCCCACATTGTTCTGTAGCTAACATGAACAATATTTATTCTTCACTGAGCTTGTTGCAAACAAGAGAAACAATGAGCAGTTCAAACTGTACAGACCCCTGGATAAGCATTAGGCCTAATCATACTGTGTCTTTTTTAGATGTTCTCCACAAGTTGTTTTGGAGCATTAGTTTTTTAGAATAAAAAAAAGAACCTCCTAACACAGCCAATCACATGCACAATTTGTCACTTTAATTTTGTAAGATTCTCTATAATGACATAAAACATGTAGCTACATAAGCATATTATAGATGACTGTAATGTATTAATGCAGTGGATTTAATGTATGAGAAACACATCAATTTATATCCAGAGTTGAAGTTTAGCATTGATTTTGCTGGTAAATCTATCACAATCTCACAAGAGCTGCACAACACAATGCCTTTACGCAACGTATCAGTCTGTCAATGTGTTGCATTACCATTTTCAATTCAGCCAAAGTAAACTTGATAATCAAAGCAATTAAAAACACAATCAGTTGTGTTTCCAAGTGCTGTGTGGAAACTTGGCCTGGCAGCTCTTTGGGATTCTGGACCTTCTCCCCTGATGACCCCTCAAGGTGAACTCTTGTATGGCTGTCCGTCCCATGAATACTAAATATGACTGAATTAAACATTTTCTCTCTTCTCACTACTATTTAATCAGTTGTCTTACTGAGCTGTCTGTCCAGAGTAATCCCTGAGGCTCACCACCACACTGACTGGCATAAAGACGACTGGCACGCTGCTCTGGAAGTATTCAAGCCTCGGCAATCCCACTGGTCCATCCCCTCTTTTTGTATGTGCTCTTTAACAGCTACAACCCTATTAATCAAGAGGAGTTTTTCATTGTATGCTTGCAATGTGCTATGTCACCCCCTTGAACCAACCAAAATATGATTTATCTTGGCAAAGTGCTTTAATACAGATATATATAAGGGTTTAAGCATTTGTGTGTGAAATCAGATCAGAGCAGATTTATTTTCTATGTGATTATTTCTCCCATTTCAAACATTTTCCTGTAAACCACACTGAAGTGTTCTCATGTTTGAAATGAAACATGTAAAAATAACCGTTGTGGTCAGTGGGCCTTGCACTATCTAGCCTGACAGAAATTCATTATATGATAAAGTCTGCTTAAAAGCACTGTGTGTAGAATTAGAAAATTTCTGGCTTTAACGCCCAACTTTGAGCTTTCTGAGAATCATTCACAACTTACAGAGCTACTGCTTGTGACTACCATCTACACAAGTTTGTGCAACTTTGTTAAGCTTAAATACCCAATGACAGTCATGACACACAAAGCAATAAACACTAATTTTGTACACGCAAAATAAATATGTATGTGATTATTGATGCAATAGATAGTGCAAAGAAAAGACAGCAATGCACTGAGCTAAAGCATATTTTGTGCTACTGACTCTATTTTAAACCACAGGCAATTACACCTCATGTCGTCCTATGCCATTCCTATAGGTACTAAAAAAAAGAAAAAATCCAGAGGAGGGAGAGGGAGACCTGGATGATAATGAGGCTGATGCTAACACCTGATGTCCACCCACATCCAGACAGCTGGCATCATGCAGGCACAGCAGTTTGTCAGAACCTTTTTAATACACTGTTTACACATTATTATTCTGTTTGCATTGGAGAGTATTTGTTATTTGAAAATGAACTTCCTGTAATAGAATACACAGGAGAAAGAATATTATGTTATGTCCATTAAATTTGTAGCTGTAGCTGTTTTATTCTTTTTAATTCCTGAAATCCTTGTCACTGTTGTTCTGTGCATAAAAGAAGTGACCACCTTTCCTCACTACTAATAGTGTTAGGACATCATCCAGTCACTGACTTTTATTATAGAGACAAATTCATGGAAACCTCACAGTCATCTTCAGTCAGGAGTGCTTTAATAATAAATGCACTTCTGACTAAAGTAATAAAGGAATGATTCCATCACACAAGTTTATGACAGCGGCTCTGAATGTTTGAGAATTTTCAGAAACACATCCTCAGATGGTATACAAACAGCAAAAGCATTGTTGCTTTTGGTAAAAGGTGACAATGAGCCTGTTGAAAATCCCCTTTCCTAAAAACTTACTAACATTCATTAACTGGCTAATTATCCATTTAGCCACTAGCATGTCTTTTCCACATTCAACATGAGATTTCCTGTGTGAACATACATCATTTCCTGTGCTTCCATTAGATGTGCACATTAGTTGGAAATGGCAGACCCTGTCAGGATAAATGATAACTAGTATTGTAAAAGAGCTTGCAGAACTTTAATAGACTGAACGGCTACAAAAACACTGCTGGTAAAATGCATTGAAATGATATCTTATGATAATCTCTAAGGATAAACACTTCAATAAAAGTGCAGCACTGCCTTTCACTCTAAAGAAAAATGAATCTTTGTTATTAAACTAATGGTAAGATTTCCTATAGCTGTCATTTTATTGGAGGAACATCAGTCTCCCACTCACTAATATTCCAACTTTAATTAAGTCTCTGGTGAGTTCCTTGGAAGAATCTCAAGTGCTCAAATCCAAACAGATGGCACTCTATTTATTGCATACCTTATGCCACAGGTACTAGCTTTTCCCCCCCAACAGACTACCCAAAACAAGGCTTCCTTTATGTACTCTCCTGGGCCTGCATAATCCAAAATTCAGCCAAACTATACAGAAAAGTTTGCTTTAATTAGATCTAAAAATACAATATAGAATAAATCAAATGGCAGACAGACAATCCCAGGGCAGGCTATTTAAAGATGCACCACAGAGAAAGTGAGTCAGTGTGGATGAATGAGTTTAAAATACAGTGGGTAGCCCTGTTTCCGTAATCAATCCACGGGCCTGCTTGTGGCCTGATTTGAACAGTGGAGCCGCTGCCTCACAAAGTGGAAGCTCTCATGCAGCAAACAAGGGAATTGTATCTGACTGTACACATTCATCTAGACTAATGGCATGGTGATGCATCCAGGGGGATACACAAGCTCATGTTCTTTGTTCCAGATCATTTGACTCCTTCTAGCTTCCACTCGGCCCTGTCGGAAGTGGAAGTGTGAGTGATCTGTTTAATCTCATCAAATATGATTAGGCAAAACACATCTCAAGATAATATCCTACTGCCCTCTGATTCAGCAGTGATACAGATGACGCGTGAATGTTGCAGCTATAAGTCAAAAGGGGCTACAGAAGGTTCCACTGTGCTTCAACTTTTTTGCTTTACATGGAATGTAAAGAACTGAAACATGCTGATTGTACATGTATATTAACAGGAAAACATTTAGCTAATTTAGATGTGGATATTTTGACACATCCATGATGTTCAAGGAGAACACCTACAATTGGCATCATCATGAGATTTATTCTGCAATATCTCCTTTTCAAAGGTAACACCAGTGTTGTAAACATGCCATTATTATTCTACCCAATTCTCCATTAGAATGAGCTGTCAATCAAACACAAAACCATTTACACAAACAATGCAACCTTGGGCTTCTAAGGGCAACGATAACAGACTCCCAACACAAAGTTCTGAAAATGAAAATGAGGATATTGAAAAATTGTGAATTTCATCTTCCACTGTCTGCTCTTTGCACCTCATCTTTGGGTGCAGGGCAATGATTACAAGTAAACTCTTCCAAAATATTTGTCCTGCCTGGCAGGCAGTATGAAATATGACAAAATGTTAATAAAATAAAAATAACTTAGTAGGACAGATTTTTTCCAGGTGGAAAAGTTGTGATTACTGTTATCGGTAAAAACAGTACTGACTGAGGTTTGGTTGAATCATTGGGTTACTTCACAGTGTCACTAATAGCTATTAAATCAGTAATTAAAAACATGATCCAGAGGACAAACATTTCTTCATCACTTCTGTTTAGCATACTGCATTTGCCTTGCAATCCCACTCCATCTTTGAAATCCCTTTATCCTTTTACTTCCCCCGCAAATCGCCCAGTGAATTACACAAGGCAATTTACATGCTTGGATAGTGAAAACAAGTGGAATTACTGTTATTTCTGCATAAAACGTTGTGCTGTTAATCCAAAAGAAGGACCACTATTTGTGTCAGGGTTGGAGGGCTTTTCATGCTAAGTCTTGCTACAGCTCCTCCAGTTGTCACTAATCTACAGCAGAACTGTGGGATGAAACAGAAAAAAAACAAACTGTTGATAACAGTCTGGTCCAAGTTACTGTAAAATAGGGAAATTTTCTATCAGAGTCTTGATGTTGAGACGAAAAAAAGGCAAATACTCACGAAGCACCACACCCAGTCTGGCTTTTTAATTGTACAGGAATGTAAATACAACTGCAAGGATTATTAGCTCAAAAATTAATGTTCAACATTACTAAATCAGAATTGTGCTGTAGACCTCATATGTTTAAGTGTAATACTTTTTTTAAAGATATCAATTTGTCCCTGAAGGATTTTGTCAGAGACTTCTGTTCTGCTATGATAAGAGCTTATTGTGAGCTGGAGGACTGATATGGACCCTGCCTACAGGGTACAGTGGGGATCAGTTTCTTCAGTTTAGTAAGACTTACAAGGCCTCCTCAGAGGTCATGCTGTGATTGTTACATTGCCCAGGGTATGGTTCTCACATTTCAAGGGTAAAGAGAAAATCCATTTTCCAACTCACTATTTACGATTGCACATGAACATTTCCCCCTGCTCCATATCCAATTACTAAATTATGATGGATTTTTAACATTATTTTCTGCCAGCCATTATTCAAGACAGTCTATCTCAATTTACATAGCTTAACGAAGCACTGAGCTTTTAATAACGCGAAGGAGTGTGATAGTGGGAGCTGATGTTTATTTGAACTGACTGGGCTTTTGGTGGTAATGATTATGAAGTGAGCATTGGGAACCGTCTCTGTAAGAGGAGAGGGGGAGCGAAGCGTTGTGTGAAGCAGGCAGATGGCTGGCCGGACAGTGTGTTGATAATGGCAACATTAGTCTGCTGGGAAGCAACATTATGCTCAAGGTCAATGGGAGCTGAAGAATGGAGGATCATAATGACACAGGCCCCATGTCCTGGAACGAGATCTCCCTTTAAGGATGTCGAGATATTTAATATGAGCTCAGCAATCTGCACAAGGCTATTATATCCATCCTCAAATTTCAAAAAGTTCATCTGTGTCACTGAAGCAGTAATAATGGACCATAAAAGGTGCTTTCTTTTTTATTCTAAATTGGTAGGGTTTACCGTACGTGTAGTATTAAATTACATGTGTAGTATTAGATTACTACTAAATGTAAGGTACTAGTATCAACATTTGCTTTAGTCAAATGTGTAGTTTTAATAATGCCCGTCTCCAGACCATTATACTTCATGTTCATTAAGCACATTTGCATACTATGTTCCTGAAATATTTTTTATAAGAACTCTAATATTTGATGTTGTATAGACTGTATGTTAATGCATACTAATCCTCATCTATACCACACACAGATTTACAGTAATTAATAAGACATGAATGCTGGTAATACCTGTACCAATCTATCATTGATCCATACTTATCTGCATATATTTGGACTCCACAATTGTATCCACTGTATATTCTGCTTCACTCTTTTTTTCTGTGTTTTCTCATTTATTTAGTCCTTTTATTCCATTTCTCTTTTTTTCCTGTTAGATGCTATTACTATTAGCTTTTTCAATGATTTAATTTCCCCACAGGGATCAATACAATTTCATCTTAAGTGTTATCATTTCACTTCAAATTAAAGCAATCAGCTGCATCCTAACATCTTTGACCATGATGTCAAATCACAAAGTGGTTTGCCTCCAGTTTTCCTCTCCCAGCCTACTTCCTCTCTAGAGTTTGTTAAACAAGGGCAACAGCAGCCTGCTGCGTTGACATCTGCGGGTAGTTTCATGAAGCCACTTCAAGCATATCGAACTCGGCTCCAGTGAGACGGGGAGGAATTCGGGGAGACTCAAGTCTTCCTTTTGTCACCCTGTATTAATGCACAAATCATGAGCAGAGCTGAGAGCCTTGGGCAATCTTCCTGAGGAGCTTCATGTTTTTTTAATCCTTCAACACTTTGCATATATTATTAATACTAAAGGCTAAGTAATACTTAACAGTTGCATGGAATAACAATTACAGTGCTTTGGTCATAGTGCTGTCCATCAACATATGCTCTCTTTTATATAACTGTAGACATGCAGACTGATATTGTGACTGTGGGTAATAGCACTGTAATTCACGAGCAAGAAGAATTACTCTTGAGTGCATTTCAAAGTACAAACCTAGTCACAACAAAATGGCAGTTTTCAAGTTGTTCATTTTTTAATCCAGACTTTGTCTCTCTTCTGTCTTTTCTTTCTTTCTTTTTTTTACAGTGGCATAGTTGAAAAATGAATATTCAATACTGAGAAAAAAGCAAACCTCACACATCCCCCATAAAAAGCAAATTAATTACAGCGATTAAAACTTTGTACAAAATGAGTTATTTATAGCATCATACTGAACTAACAAAATAACATGTATGAGCATTGGCAATGTGGTTCAATGTCTTTGATACAGTGACTATATACAGTGAGGGCATGTCTGATTCACCAATGCCTCAACATGTCATTAGTACTGTTTGCAGCAAACTCAAAGGCCATAACGGTGATCCTTGTATTGTTTTTTTTCTTTTATGATAAGTTACAGAATTAAAAAATGGAAAAGTTAATGTCAGACAACTACTTTAGTAATAACAGCAATAATATCAATCAATATAGTATTATATAATAAATGTCAATCAATCATAATAATAAATACATATATTTGACCAGATTTTTTTTTCTTTTACATTTTAAGCAATTCATTAGAATCCCTGTTTGAAAAAACTTTCAAAAATGTGAAAAGAATCTCATCAAAATGATGGGAACTGATAAGACCTGAAATTAAAAGCTATAACCATTCTTTTATCTTTTACTAAAATTCAATACTTACACATTATTTACATGCCACCAGGCAAAACAACCTCTTGTTAGATAAATGGGAAAAAAAGAAGACTTGTGGAATACTTTAAATACTGTATATGCTAATATACAAATTGTAATATGTCAGGGATCCCAAGATTCAACAATATTGTTCACCAATATTCACGTTAGCAAAGTATTTTACAGCAATATCCACACATTGAGCATAGTTGTTCAATAAAATTCAACATAAATAATGAACCCCCACAAGGTTCCACTCATTCAGTTTTGATCTTACATCAAATCGGCAACCAAAATTAAAGTTCCTCATCCATGACGATAACTGCAAGTGTACTGAAATCTTCATCACATGTCTGACACCATCTCTCCATCTAGACTCATATTGAATCCTGAGACAAGAAACAGTTGATGTGTTTTCCCTCCATGTTAGTCCTCAGACTTTGTGCTTTAATTTTCTAACTTGTTCTCTGTTGGTACAAATCAACAGCATGAGTGAAAACTGAGAATCATACATCAATGCAGAAATATACAGACAGTGATAAGAGGGAGTTGATTTCATCTAGAAACAAATCACATAGATTGTGCTTCTATGTTTTGTTTTGTCAAAGTGTCTGGTCAGTCATATCATATTTTGAATGTATGCAGTATGGCTGTGGTGGGGTATGCTCCAGGCAACATCTGTTTAATCCTGTTTAATGTTTGACAAATTGATGTTTAAACATATTCTGCTTTTGAAGCAAAACATTTCAAAAAGCTAAGACTTGACTCTAACTTGAGTTGAAGCACGTTTCTTATTGATTCTGAATTTTAAAAAATATGCAAAAGTTGTATAACATGAAAAGTAATAGCGTGAAGAAGAAAAGCAAGCAATAAAAGAAATGCAGAAAAATATACAGCATTTAGGCACCATAAAACTGAAATGGAAATAATCCAATTGTACATGGGTTACATTGATTACAAAAGGAGAAGGCTATATTGTCAGCGGATGCTTTGAAAACAAGCATATCCAAGCATGAGCTTTCTGTAAAAGACAACAGATAATAAGGAAAGTAAAACAGACCATGTAGTGACGCTGAGGCAGCTTAAAATTGCACGTCTGCTGTCAGAAGTTGAAACAAAGGAAAAGAGTAACGGAAGTCTAAATGAAGTACTCTTTCTTTTCCTCTGCATGCACATGGTTTCCCTCAGCATTGATGATGGCTGTGTCTGCGTCGGGGGCATCCTCTGCTCCTTTGGCCTCATGTGTTAGATATGTCCCTGGAGACATATAGAGCCATACAGCAAGTTATCCACCCGCTGAAAAGCATTAGACATATACATTTACTCCAAGCAAAAAAATTGTTATTCAAGGCAGCTCAAGTGACCTCTTTTACCTTTATGTCTGGCCAGATATCGTCCAAGAACTATTATCAGACACAAGGTGATGAAGACCACGACTGCAACAACACCACCGATTAGAGCGTGGTCAGGTCCATGTTGTCCTAAAGCATTAGGATCTGAAAGAAGACAGAGAAAGAGATGGAGGGAAAAGTAGAGAGATAAAATTAACACATGCAGGATGTTTTACTGCTGTCTAATGCAGGTGTAAACATTTATTAAAAAGCAATGACAATATTATACTCCTGCAAGTATCCTGAACAAAATCCAGATGTAACACTTTAACACACATAAACAAAGCACAACAGTCCCAAATGAGCTTCTGTCATATTTACATCAACCTGACATCACTGCTTTGAAGTGCGTGAATTGAGGTATAAAAGAAGTAGTCAAAGGAAATACCACAAATATCTGCACAGTTTGAAAATATGGCATTAGCAACAGCAACATGCTGCAAGAAAACTGAAGTGTAGCTCTGAGTGATGTTTTAGTTTTTTCGCCAAAGCCTCTACACATGCTCTTTTGTGTTTGGCCCTTGCTCGCTGCCATATTCTGCTGCTGAGGATCAGGTTTTTTAAATAAGTGTTATTTAACATGAGGCGTCCTCCAGGCAGCTAGCAAGCTGAAGGTTTCTCAGGCAGGAGCATGCCTTTGTGTCTCTCCTGTAATAAACTGTAAGTGGCTGTGTCTTTACTGTGCACCTCGTGTGCTCTCATTATCTCAAGCTGATGAATGGCTATGGCTTGTGCTCAGTTTTGCAAAGTGACCCTGGGAAATGACGGCGGGGATGTTCCTACAAACCTCGTTATACTCCTCTGTTAACTGAATGCAACCCTCATTTTCAGCAACCCAGTGTGGGACGTTAAAAATAAAAAGAGATGACATTGTGAAACATGCAGTTTATTTAACTCACATGCAGAATAGAACCACCACGATTGTTTTGTAAGGGACTCACAAGCAGGCACTTCAGATTTTGAAGCAATAACTGTTTTGGTACAACAGTTGAATTAACTCAGTTTTGGGTGCATGTCGATGGATATAATGATCTGTACGGGTGATTCCACTGTCAACAAGGGGCATAAGCAATTTTCATATCACACTCGGCTGGTGCACATTGCTCACAGGAATGAGACAGAGCTGAACTGCTCTTGCTGCACTGCAGCTGAATGTGTCATCTCAAAACAACAGTTTGCTACTCATGCTTTCACCTTAATTTGTGACCAAATAAGTTATAATGCTTCTCCAACCATATTTTTGAGCTTTAATTCAAATGTAAATACACTGATCATTTTTTGTCAATACTGGAAATAAACTACAGAGAGGCAACATATGAAATCAATCTGGATGAAAAAATTAGACCAACTTTCTTAAGATGACACTGTTGAAACTACACACACTGTCACAAAAGGAGAACTACAGACATTTATGCAGCACGCAGGAGCATCAGTGACTCAAACTGACATATTTTTGATCTGTTGTTTAGTTACCTTTAGACAATGTGAACTGAGAACTTATTTCTATCCTGTGTCCATCTTGGCTGACATAGACACAACCCCCAAGTATTTTATGCCTTACACAAATTAAAGTATATATCTCACAAGTGAACACCATATCAAACTAAATTTCGGAAACCACGTACAATGCAGATAGATTAAATCACAAACTTACCAAGAAATATATGGTAAACAGAAATACTTCCTATGTGAACAGAAATGTGCACAATAGAGTTCCCTCAAAGAATTTTGGACTTTCCCTTCCATCTCTGCATAATTACATGATCTGAAATCAAATATTTACACACTGGCAGAGATACAATCTCCAGCCCGGCTCCACTAAGATAGAGCCATCTATTTCATTGTGCAAAGACAAAGTAAACCAGAAACATATTGTGTGATAACTTATGCAGCCTGTGACATGGCTGGAGAGAAAGCGGCTGGCGTCAGCAGAGTGAGCATCCATGCATGGTGATGGTTTGGCTCATGCTGTGTGGAGGCCGTGATGTGTCCTGACCCAGATCCAGATCTAGCATCACATACTGTAAATCTGGCTTGCAATGATCGTCTAGTGGGATATTTACCTGTTGTAGGCCCTGGAAAGTCTTTGGCTGTTGCCATGGTTGCAGACAGTGACAGCAGTAAGGGAAGACGAGGGGAACAACACCGTGATAAAAAAGGTGGCCACAAAGTTCGTAGGAAAACATGAGATATTAGCATGGTCTGCTATTCTGAGCTTTTACTTTGACAGTGTGCAGAAGTGACAGAAAGCTGGATGTTTGCTGTCTAAGCCAAATGAATGCCTAACTGGAGTTACTGGAAACAGTCACTTGGAGAACAGCCCTAGATAGAGCGAAAAGGACAAGATGAAGAACAAAGGTGTACATATACTGAGATTCCTGACGTGTTATTGGCCATGTACATTTTTTTTTTACGGTAATTTCGTTTTAAGGTTTTGGGCATCACTAATGAAATTTCGTTCACCACCATTGTGTAACACCATGTCCTAACTAAACACAAGTGAGAGCAGGCAACTAAATCAGTCTGATTGTTTTGTTTTCCTAACTGGTTGCAACTAACGCAGCATAATGTGGCATGCAGTTTTGAGTTGAATTTTTGTTAGCCGTCCTGTTTGTATTTTATTTCTGTCACTCGCGTTGATAGTGCTGGAATGTACAAGAACCGCTGATTCACAAGGCTGAAATGTGAATATCTTTACAGTATGTCCTCATTTCACTACACAAACGTAAGTAAGGTGGCAGCTGGCTGTGGGGAGATCGCCAGAAGGCTAAACCTTTCTGGTAAATTTGTTGTGTGGGATGCTCGGCTGAGCTGGCTTGTTTTACAAAGTGGAAAGGGTACTGAATCTACAACAATGAGATCTATACCCGCGATAGTGTTGTTGCAAATATGAATAATAAGGAGAGGGCAGCTATGTTCTCCAGTGTGCTACACTTGACAATTGATGTCAAGGTCCCTTGCTACAGTGTTTGCTGTCAATGTTTGTAACAGTTGGTAACAGTTGTAGCAGTCAGAGAATAGCTAGCACGTTCTGTATAATATTGCCTGTCAAAGTTGAACAAGATTAAAAATTTGGCATACCATAATGTTAAGCCCCTGAAATAGTACTTGTTTACATGACATAACAGAGTTCCATATTTAACAGATCCAGTGTGGACAGAGTGTTTGATGGTGCGATAGTTGGATGCTTGCTTGCTGTTAGGACACAGAGTTAGGGTGGAAGTATAGATCTTAGTGACAAATATCTCAAAACCTGGACAAATTAATCCATAACTATCTGCATGCAACAACACAGGAGGCAACAAAAAAAAATCTATCTTTTGTACTTTGTGTGGGCTGACCCTTTGATACTGAAAGCAAACAATCCATTTAGGACTTTTCAGGTATCAGGTAACACATCATTCAAGAGCATCTGAGTATTCAGCAATGAATATTGGGCAGTCTACGATGGAGGAAGGATAGGTAGGAGCATAAAATATGGCCAAAGTGTCCTGAATTCTCATGAGAGTCCAAGTCCTGCCAGTCTGAAGGTACCATGTAGATATTTTTTTTTTTTCACGTTATGGAGCCATGTTTTTATGAGTGGACACTTTTGCTTGTTTGTATTGTGCACATGCACAAGGAGCCACATGCACGTACATGGGGTCAATGTGATATATATTCCTGTCACCAGTTTCAAGCTGTTACGGTGATTGACAGGTACGCTCCAAAAGGCAGTCAGTAAAGCCTCTTTCACACAGAGTGCAATTTTCGCGGCGCCCACCACGGGGTAGGGCACAAAGCAAGCGGAGAGCAAGGCGCGCAAGACAGGATTTGGGGGAGTACAGGCTCGTTCAGGAGCTACAGCTTCATGGTGACCGCTTCCGGGTCTACTTCAGGGTCTTCTCTGCTATTGGACGCGCCGAGGTGTCGTCACAGCGCGTTGTGGTGAAATTAAAAAATTTTCAATTTGAGCACAGGCTGGCGGCGCGCAGAGCGGTGCGCTCTTGCACCGCGGTAGCACATACACAATGAATGGGTTCGTCGGCGGAGGTCTGCGCTTTGCACGCTCTGTGTGAAAAGGGCTTAAAGCACTGTGACGACACCTCGGCGCGTCCAATAGCAGAGAAGAGCCTGAAGTAGACCCAGAAGCGGTCACCATGGAGCTGTAGCTCCTGAACGAGCCTGTACTCCCCCAAATCCTGTCTTGCGTGCCTTGCTCTCCGCTTGCTCTGTGCCCTACCCCGCGGTGGGCGCCGCGAAAATCGCGCTCTGTGTGAAAGAGGCTTAAGACTGTAAGCTAATAAACATGGATGTAAACAATACACAACCTTTGAAGAAACAAATTTTGGCAAGTATTTCATGAAGAAGGAAACACTTTCTTTTTGCCAGACCTCATGGATACACATAATGTGTTTTGGTGAGAAACACTGAATAATAGTATAACTTACTTATTTACAGGAAAGCTCCACAAGACACCTTTAAGGTTCATGGGTTGATTATCAAAACGAAGCACAACTCAAATCTAAGTAGCCTTGACTATTAAGGAAATTAGTCTATTTTACCTGCAGAGGGTTTCTGTGGTTCAATATGGAAAAAGTCATACACAAACACTACAACGTAAATTCCATTAGGAGAGATGAAGTGAAGTAAACACATAGAGCATGTGATTTTGGTAAACATTATTCAAACGTAACTGCATGTGTTCTTATTGTTTGGTTGTAATGGTAGAAATCATTCAGCCTAAGAACAAAAGTATAAACACTCATGTTTTCTATTTTCTGCTTCTGCAAAGATGTAAATTTGTGCAGTGGTTTGCAAACAGTGACTACCTGATGTGGTGCCTTACTCCTACAATGTCTGCATATTGTCAGCTACCAATAATAAAATTTAATCACAAACAGTAATAAAAATGCTGGTGAGGTAACAGTGCTGTGCATGAAAAATAAAGCAGAAAGGAAACAGAAAAAATAGACAGAGTATTGAATTCATCCAGTAAAACAATGCTATTTTCTAGCTCAAAGCCTGGTTGTTAGCTCATCAATCATCAATGTGTGTTCAGTGTCATGTTTGTGAGTGCATAGAGCGTTGAGGCAGGGCCATGGAGGGGGTGCAAGAGTACCTGCAAACGCAGCTGTGACTGCCTTTGCCTGATGTGAGAATGTCGGTATTAGCAGGACTGGGGGAATGGAGGCTAGAAAGGGAGCTGGGGGAGCTGAAGATGGAGGCACTAAGGTGATGACGTCTGCTAAATGAAACAAGAACAACGGGGAGCAAAAACAAACCTCTCCATGGGGAACAGGCTCAACATGAGAAAACTTACAGGAAAACAAACAGCACAAATCAATTATTGCATGTGGTTGGTGCAGTGGGTTAATTCTAGTCTACCACCTCAGTGAATACAAGCAAGACAATGAAAAAAAAATGCAGTACAAGAGTTGCACAAATGACTCGAGCTCTGAATGAATCAGTTCTTTCCACAATATCTTTGGGGAAAGGAGGAATGACTCATATTTCTTACATCTATTAAAATTTAAAGAAATAGATGATTGGTTAGCAAATGAGCCACAGAAACAGAGTGTAAAACTCCTCAAGTGTCATGCATTTTGAGGTAAAAATGTACAATGAATGAGTGAAATGTGAGGGTGAGGGTGTTAGAAGTGGGTCTGTAGCCCTACAATCAGTTGCAGTCATTTTTTAAATGCATTTAACTAAACCACTATCTGTTAACGTCTCACTCAGAGTAATTATCATATACAATGTTTCCTTGCTTTATTTAATACAGTGTGGTAAGGAGCATAATTGCAGACGGTGATAAATTGCGGCGGAGCGATGACATTTATTGCTTCTCAGCTCTCCTGTCATTAGCAAATTAGGCTTAGAGGCTGAGATGATCCGAAGAGACCCAGTAAGTATTCAGCCAGACACGATGTAGCTCTGAGGAATGACTGTCATCCTCGGTGGAAATGAGCCTGTCTCGCACATCCTGTACCTGCTCAACGCAATTTTTCATCTTTCCCACTAACCAGGACCTTTGTATTTAGTGTAAGAGGGCTGCTGAGGGTTACACATTCTGCTATTTCCTCTGCTAATCCGACAAAAATTGAGAAACTGCTCCCTGGCACATACATGCATAACTCCAACAACCCAGGTTCATTCAACAAATTTAAATGTTTTTCTTTAACTTAAACTAATAGAAAATCTTAACAACTGTGAAATGTGAGAATTGAAACTTTGTTACCAGCACATGGCTCCTAGATATGACAGGATGATATGGACTAGTCTGACATCGCTGCCTACCCTCAATAAGCATGCTGAAAGATGAGACTGAGATAACAAAAGCTGAAAGGACGAATGTGTCATCCTCCTTTCCCTCGTTTTTTTTTTTTTTTTTGTACCCCAGTGAAGGGCTTTCTTTCCCCAAATGCCTCTGCCTTTAAAATTGAACAAAGAAGCTGCTGTGTATCCACTAACTGCCTGTGAGCCCGAATAAGTCCAGCGTCTGAGCTGTGATAAGTCGCTCCCAAACAAACTGTGGGACTGTTTAATTGGCAAAAATGGAAACAAATAAATCCATGTTGAATTTTAATATTCTGTCCTTGTTTTTGTATTTTTACTTGGCTGTATTTGATAAACATTATAAACATGTGCTGCAGAGGCCTTAATGATCCGTTTCCTGCACCATGCTGTCTTTATTCTCTCAGCCGCTCCACTGTCTCGGGATTAACTTATCTCTCCTCCAGGCGGTACTCGGAAGCTAAATTCTGCATCCTTAACACTTTTTTCCCTGTTTCCTTATAGGAAGAGTCCAAAACCTAAACCTGTGTAGCAATATGTACAGTGCAGTGAGGTAAACTGGGTTATCCAGCACAGTGCCAAGGAAATATTTGGAAGGGAAATCTTAAGGAAATGGTCTGCAAACTTGTGACCTGCAGTACTACAGATTACTTTGCTGTACTATCAGTACTAGTCTTAAAATGCCATTAGCCTTAATTTTACACATTTGAACCACAAAATAACACATATTTAAAAACAGTTAAAAATGAACGTATTATCCTTTGTTCAATTTGTTTGTCAGCAGGATGACGAAAAACTACTGGTCCAGTTTTCATGATACTTGGTGGAGGGGTGAAGCATGGGCTAATGAAGAACCCATTAAATTTTGGAGCAAATCTGAATCACAGAGCTTATACACAAATCATTTTTCACTTTTGTTAACATTACGAGATAGGGAGATAGGGCATTTGGTCTTGGTGGAGGTCTTGTAGTTTTTCACATTTGTGGTCAGTTGTTGGAAGGCACCTTTTGCTTTATTTTATCCAACCCTGCAACACCATCTGGCAGGAAATGTTATGTGGTGTTGTACATTCATCATGTTGGTAAATTTTAGAGATTAGCATATGTTTCTCTGTTCCAGGCAACCACTGATTTCGATTCAGTCCTAGGCAGTAGATAAAAATTAATTACTGTTTTAACTTCATTGAATTGTGTAATTAAGCATAACATGCTACTGCCATTTTTCCCCCCATATTTTCAAAAATTAATAAAAACCAATGGCTGTCACAAAGGGTAAGAAAAACACACTTTCAAAAATGGTCCACAGAAAAAATAAGTGCACATGATTTGCAGTTGCGCTAAACCTTGCAATACACTGGCAGAGTCTTTTAAGTGTTTGAAATCTAATTTAACAAAGCTGATCTAAACTGAACTGGCACATGACTTTATAGCCAAAATAACAATAAACATTATTCAGGGAAATGTTTATTCATTTCTACCCATCCATCAATAAGCTATATCCTCTTATCCTTAACACGGCAGATAGTCTGAGCAGGAGTCTACTTCTGCTGATATTCATAAATTAATAATTAATGACTGTTGTAAGGACTGAGGTCAAACATTTGTCCACAATCTACTTGTCAAACATAGTTGACATTAAAAATGGTCCTTATAAATGTATTCAATGATGGTTTAGAGGCTTTTTTTGTCGCACCTGCTAAATATCTAGTGGTTAACCTACCAGACTGAATGGCTTTATATCTTTGTAATAGGCCCCAACCATCTTTGAACTAAAACACAGTGTGCTGCAAAGCCTTGAGTATGAAGCAACAGCAAAACTGAGCATCCATAACAAGACTAACCATTACTGTACCTACCATATACAAACAGTATATATTCAGCACTGCCAGTCCCCAGGTGGTTGCTGGCCTCGCAGCGGTATGTGCCATTGTCTGTTTTATTTAGTGTGGTGATGGTTAGTTCCCTGCCTTCCACAATCATACGCTCAATGTCTGGTAGCTCCCCTCCATCTTTAGACCACAACACTGGTTCAGGTCTGGGAAAGAAAATAAATAAATAATAAAAATATTTTCTATTCATTTTACTGCATACGATTTCCAACATGCAAAGAAATAATCAATAAACCAAAGAAACATTCCTGAAAAATGACATTCTGCAATGAAACTGAATCATATTTCAAGTCTTATTTCTACCTATTTTCATGAAGTTGTAAGAAAATGCCAACTTACATTGGGTTGCCTATGGACACACACTCCAATTTGAAGTATTGCCCTTCCTGTGGGATAATCAGTGATTTTTTGATCTCCAGATGGGGAGCATCTGTGAAGAAGGGACAAAAAAATCAAATGCTATGAGAGAACAGTGTTAGAGACTTTAACTCGAACACAGACAAAGTACCACAGTAGTTAGTTCTTTACCCATTGGGCAGCTCTTAGCTCTGGCCCATATCCCTGTTCTGCTTTGGTACTAATCCCTTACCTGCAAACTAATCCTACACTAATCCTGAGCAAATGCAAAGCTAAACCTGCAGACATAAATGTAATCTCAATCCTTGTATTTCTTCTCAATGCTAATCTTACACCTAATCCAGCTTTGCACGGTGTGTATGACTGCACTCACAGTGGACCTCCAGGACCTCAGTTGTCATGTAGGGGTTCGACAGAGACACATGCTCCACACTGCAGGTGTAGGCGACGCCATCGTCCCGTCTGTCCACATGGAACTGGAGGCTACTCCTCACTATGAATGATTTTCCTGTGGCATTCACCTCCTTAGTGCCTGCAGAGAGTTACAAATTGAACAAATGTGCAATATACTTGTGGATTACTAATATTATTGGGGAAAAGTTTTGGCTTTTGTGCAAGCCCCTCATGCAAAAAATTATTTTTCAAAAAAGAAGCAGAGAAAAACAGAAATCAGCGTGTACATTAACTAAAAACGTGAGAAACATGAAATTTTATTTCGAGATGTTGCTTTTCTGACATAGACAGCTGCAGTGTTGTTGTTGTTGTTGTTGTTGTTGTTGTAGTTGTTTTTCTCTGCATCTCCTTTGAGGGAGAGAATCCTTGGCCTTTGAAAGTCAAGTCAAAGTAGAGTGAATAGTGAGGAGAGAGCAGTGTGAGCATTGACTCGGTTGGTTGGGTGTGTTTGCTCCTCCAGGACCATCTCTCAAACATCCCAGTCAACACGAACAGACACACACACTCCCTCAGCAGTGCGGAATGGATTTCCATAGTTGTAGTCACACCTTTCTTTCCTCCTCTTTGTCTTAGCTTCATGCCAAAACATTCACCCTTTACACCACTTCAGATCTTGATTTCTGTTTGTTTTGTCCCTGCCCTGTGATGTCGTCTTCATTTAGAGATGCCTCTTAACTTATAATTGGAAGCGTTTCTTTGTAGTTTGCTGCTGCTCTCCTGTCAGCGCTTTGTGTGTAGCATCACTTTCTCTGAAAAGAGCTGTACAAGGCTACAGTACCTTAACAGGGCAAAAAGGACAAAGGCATTACTTGACGACGGCCTCAGAAAGACTTTTCACTGGAGCTGCTACCCTCCTCACCCCCTTAGATCCTCCCATACTACATCTTCCCCCCTAAACCTCTTCCTCTCCCTGGTCTTTCTGTCATCCAGTGCAAACCTGAGTCAGTCAATACATACGTATATACTCTACTCCTTTGCAGCAAATACACACATAACACACAAATTGTTCAATCCCTTGCTCTATTAAATACTAAAAGCCCCTTGCAATGAAACCCATATCACCCATATCATCATCACTTTGGGCTGATCCATCCCAATTTTTCCACTTCACTGATTCTCTTTGATTTTGTTGTGTGTGAAGAGATCTATATTTTCTTTACTCTTACTTTGCAGTGGAATTACTACTACTATAACTACTTCTATAACTGCTACTACTGCTACAAATGCTACCTCATGTACACGTCCTGTTGCTATTGACATTGGCAGATTCAATAATATTTTTTCCACAAACTACAATTATCTCAGGGTGATATTTTTTCATGAAATGGTTTGACAAAATCCTGAAATATTCTGTTATACAGATGACATTTTTTTTGTCTCAGAAACTAAGAGAAGAAGGCAAGACAAACTAATGATTGCCTAATTTGAATTCTCTTTCACTGTAAGTTACAATAACATGTACTTAATTAGTAAACTGAATTTTTATTGTAGACATGACAGTTGGAACATCTGATAACATATGTCTTGTGAAATTATTATCATTACTATCTTTTTTTAAATGATGTGCCTCATACTGGATCTGATTTGTATTAATTACTGATGTATTTGTATGCATGACACAAAAATGAAAAAGCTGTCAAACTTCAAAACCAAAAGTAATAATGGCAAGATGAGGATGGCAACTACAAAAAGAGGAAGAAGAAACAAAAAAAAGGCATTTTACATCCAACCTCACTGGTCTCTAGGACATTGCTCTTTTATCGATTAATGCATCAAATAATCACAAATTATACTTCTTTGGAACCTAATTTCAAACATCACATAACATTTGAACAAAGAGGAAAGTCAGAGGCCTTGCTTTTTGCCCTGAAGTACAGAGGGGGATAGTAAGTATCTCTGTGGCGTCAAACACAAATCTCTCCAGCTTCTCCTCTTATTCATCAGGTTGCCTGTAGCATCAGAGCTGCCATAGAAGAAGCTGTTAGTCTGTTAAGGCGGCTGCTAGCATTGCCAGAGAGCATGCAGAGGCAGCTTTCGTAAGACTGTGAATGTGCCCAGGTGCACCTGTTTTGAACCAGAACCCCAAGAGGCAAGCAGATCTACATCCAGGCAACTGGGGGCACTCCTGTAATCACCACCTCTGCATCTGTTTTAACAAGGAGGAAACTCAATGGCAGGATTGGATTTTTTCAGACGTGTAGGCCTATTACAGTTTAATAAGAGTAATATTAGGATTGGACAGGCAGACTTTAGAAGACTTAATTTTTGGCTTCCCTTCAGATTAATTATTGTTTTATGTTCATTGGGTCAAGCTGTCCTCAGCCTTGAAGAAATAAATCCATAACACTTTGAGCCTTTTTTTAATTTCATGAAGACTTCAGACGCATTCTCCAATAGCACATTCATTTTTTATTTGCAGCTATTTCATACTGTGCTCCTTTTAAAGGAATACTCTGACGATTTGGGAGTTATGCCCTTTCTCTATCATTTTCATATTGAGACAACATGATCGATATCTTTTTTGTGTCTGTACGTCCAGTGGCTGGGTCTCAGCGGTTAGCATTGCGGCTAAGCTTAGCGAATACAGTTGAAGTCTATAGGGAGTCAGTAGCCTACGATAAAAGTGAACAAATAAACGTTACAGAAACCCTGAAGCTGGCATTTCTACATGTGCATTTAAAATAAACATGTTTAAACATTAATTCGAAAAACGAGAGTCCTTTTTAGTCATTTTAGAAGAAGTTTAAAACATGGAACTATAGTGTGTTTACGTCCTGCATTGTGATCCGCGGAGGGATACACCGGTGATCAGGCACAGGCACAGACGTAGCCTGTAAACAAAACTCAGTTGTTTATTTAGCCTAACGATATCTCCGGACTAAAGTAGCTGCAATGGACGACTTTGAACATGATTTTGAAGAGTGGGAGACGCAGGTCAGGGGAGGATTGGTGGTGTAGCTGTGGGGCTTGCCAACCTATGCCTACGGAGGTGGAATCATTTTGCTGCACAGAATGGGATTCGGTGCTACCATCGTTGGGGAGGCTAGAGATATATCATCAGGAGAAAATGCACAGAGAATGCATCACAAGGAGTGAAAACTTTGCAGCAATCACTAATCCTGGTGTGACTGAAACAGATAAACTGGAAAAAACACCCCAGGCCTGCAGGAGCTGATGGACAGCTTTCAGTCAAGTGAGTAATATCGCTTTTTATTACACGGCTCTATTAAATGCTGTATTCTGATTGGTCATTCGCGGCATTCAGAGGTATGATATTACTGTGTAATGACCATTGCTATGTAGCCCAGCGTTGCTAGGGACGCTGCCCTGACAACTGTTACTTTTTATTGGGCTAACGTAGCCGTTACCGCTTAAAAAATAATAATTTACAAGACACAAAGATGGAGTATTTTCATGATATAACTTTTAACATATTTGGTGAGCATGAAAATCTTGAGTCCTGGTTACTGGCTGAAGATGAGAAGAATGCCGGAGAAGAGGGATGCTCAGAGGAGAAGAGAGGAGACACAAGATTGTGGATGACAGGGAGGTTGATCATTGATCTTGATTCCCTGTAGCAATTGTAGCGCAGATTCAGCCGTTGCCGGCAGTTTTTTTTTTCTCTCCTCCCGATTTAATGTATAAATCAATAAAAATCATATAATTAATCAATATTCTGTCTCAAATTATTTATTTAACTGATAATTAGCCATGTAATAAGCGGGATAATGTATAATGAGCCGGTGAATACTGGGAAAATAACTCCCGACAGGGGAATAGAACCCCGACGCCAGCACTTTTACAGTGCCTTTTCATCTAGCATGAGAAAAGTTACCTAAAATTGAACTGTGTGCAGCTTGTTGTAGAAATACGAGTACATCAATTCATCATGAGTCCCTGTAGGTTTGCCTTGAATGTTTTTGCAAGTTGCAATAATACATTTTCGAGGCATGATCGTCCGTGTCGTCTCTTTGTTTGCTTTTACCGAGTGACCTAGCGTACCTGTCCCAGAGCCAGCTGCAGCTGTTGCTCACCGGTGTATCCCTCCACGCATGGCGTAAACACATTATAGTACCGTGTATCAAACTTCTTCTAAAATGACTAAAAAGGACTCTCGTTTTTCGAATTAATGTGTAAACATGTTTATTTTAAATGCACGTGTAGAAATACCAGCTTCAGGGTTTCTGTAACGTTTATTTAGTCACTTTTACCGAGTAGGCTACTGACCCCCGATAGATTTCAATTGTATTCGCTAAGCTTAGCCGCAATGCTAACCGCTGAGACCCAGCCACTGGACGTACAGACACAAAAAAGATATTGATCATGTTGTCTCAATATGAAAATGATAGAGAAAAGGCATAACTACCAAATCATCGGAGTATTCCTTTAATGCCAGAACCTCCTGCTTGGTGCAGTTTGCAACCTATGTACTGCCTGATGACTAATATTCACAGCCTAAAATGTTTTGAGAAATTTCATGTTTTCTTTTTTTCTTTCATTCTGTGACCTAATTTCTCAATTAATTTGTTGTTGAAAGTCCATTAAGTATAAACTCACATTTGGAAAAAAAAAACATTGTTGCCTCATTTAGCTGCTAGAGTCGTTAATTTTACATTGGAACTTGTTTATCCTTAATAAACAATGTTGCACATTTAGTATTTTGGTGTTTGGTAGTTGGAGGGTAAAGAAGCCTAAGGGGCATGCTAACTACAGCTAAATTTTTGGTTGGGCACCTGTGTGAGATGGCATATTTGTCTACAAAACTGAATCAATGTGGTCTTGGGTAGTACAATGCTTAAATATATTTACAAATTAACATACAACACTATCTGTCTATCATTCATTTATTCATACATTCATCTATGCTAACAAGTGGTTTTAGTCAAATCATTGGCATTAATTGTCTATGTAACAGTATTATCCCATTCATTACAAATCTGTAACATTTCAAAATCTGATAATATAGTTGCTTCTGTTTTTGACTGTTTATTAGGTGAAAACATTGTGATTTAGAGCACACATGAATCAAATGTTATGTAACATTATAATATTTTCAGCTACAATAGGACATGAGAGCAGCACAGGCTTGCAAGTATCCATACTACTGTACCATACTACCAACCAGTGCACAGATGGGGTCAGGGTACACTGTTTCATACTGTAGTCATTTTAGATCTCAGTTAACATTACTACAAATGGCTGAAAGGTGAAATCACTAACTAAGAAAATCAGAGCAGAGATGTGCACTAAGCTAAGGTTTTTGACGATGGTGCAGCTGAAAACAACTTTTAGCTGTCCTGTGAAAATCCATAACACTTGCATCACCCTAGTTAACTTCCTCCAGTTTCCAGGCCCTTAAACTTTATTGGTTTCTAAGTGTTTTTCAACTAAGTTCTAAAGGGGTAAACAGAGACAGAGGAAAAGTGAGTGTACATTGTCTAAAAATAGATCAAAACCACCATCTAAGGCAATAAATACGAGAAAGCACTTTGACAACATATGCTGGTATATTCCTGTAATGTGGCTCATTTGTAAAATTCTCACATATTCCCCAGAATATTCTCACCAATCTTAAAACATAGAGAGTGGGTAAACAAAGGGACTACTGTATGGAAAACAATATGAGCTAAGGTGTAGTGTTTTAAGAGTGAGGTCAACAGATGTTAGACTCATAATTGAAAATATATCATGATTAAACCATGTGTAAATAAGTGCAGCAACACATAAATCACTGCTGCTGAAACTATTGAAAACAACTTCGTTCTTGCTCACATGTCAATGGTAGCACCATGCTGAGCTCCTGTATGAATGAGGCACTTGATCTAATTTTAGATTATGGCCTTGATGAAGATGAAAATATCAGACCTGATATTACGCTTGTAGCTACAGGAACCAAAAAAAGGCCCCTTAGTCTACATTTAAAGCGGAGATTTATTAAGTTAAAAGGGGCTGTTCATTCTGTTAATTGGTGATGAATCATATACTTTAGAATAGTGTTACAATAGCGTTAAAATCATCACAAGATTATGGCATATACTCTGGTAGTTGAGAGTTGAGCATGGGGCAAGAGATGTAAACAGCTGCATAACTTAAAGGTCAATTTGTATGATTTAGGGGGATATATTGGCAAAAATGAAATATATTATATTCATAACTCTGTTTTTATGAATGTATAATAACCTAAAACTAAGAATAGTTATGTTTTTTCATTACCAGTCATGTATTTAGTCATGTATTGTCATTTTTTATATTTAGTCCTGTATTATCATGTTTTATATTCTGTCTTGTACTGTCATGTTTTATATTCTGTCTTGTATTGTCATGTTTTATATTCTGTCCTGTATTGTCATGTTTTACTCTGTCATATGTATTGTCATGTTTTTATTTTGTTTTTTTGTCTGTCTGCCCAGGGACTACAGATGTGAATGAGCTGATAGCTAAATCTGGTGCAATTTTGCTGATTGTGCGATGTCCCTGTCAAATAAACAATAAACTAAACTAAACCATAGAATGAACCGTTTATATCTACATACAGAGCAGGTCCTCTTCCACTGAGTTCACCATGCTGTTTCTACAGCAGCCCAAAATGGACAATCCAACCACTGGCTCTAGATAGAGCCGTTCATGGTTTCCTGTTGGCCACCATAGACTGCAGCCCCTCCGCGACAAGCCAAAAAGTCTTTGTAAAACACTCATTTTAAATGTGAAAATATTTCATTTTGTGTGTTTATTAGTTTAAATCTCCAGGGCTCTGAAAGGGCCATTTGAGTTTTCACAGTTCCATGCCAGCCACTGCAAGGAGTTTCAGTTGGGTGCAATGCTGCAACCTTACCACTAGATGCCACTAAATTCTACAAATCAAATAAAATTACAATCTTAGTTTTTGATTTTTCAACTTTGGGTGTGAGCCTAATTCAGAATGAAGGGGCACACCAATTTAACACCATAATAATAATAATAATAATAATAATAATAATAATAATAATAACAATAACAATAATAATAATAATAATAATAATAATTGTAATAATTGTAATAATAATAATGTTTGGATATCTTGCCTAACTGAATATAAATTTAGACACCATGTTGGAGTAGTTGTGTATTTGAATGTGCCTTTGTGCCACTGTGAAAGGAATATATAGGCCACTTTATGTATGCAAAGAGAGTGACAGTGGGTGTATTTTTTCCTCAATAGATATAATTTGAAGTCTAGCTGTCTTTCAGCGACACAAGTAATTTGTATGGCTCTATACTCTGCAAACAAATTATTTGACACTGTATGACAGTTGCATTTTGAGGTTTGTAATGCTGTGTGCCTCTAATATAAATTGTTGAAAAACAAATCATCAGAGCATGAAATAAATATGACATGTTTTTGCTATTACACCTGCTGTCATCTTGGAGCTTTGTGGACTGGTCTCCCAGTGGGGATAGATTTGACTGACAGCAGACACTGGCGGCAATGATCTACCACAGAAGAACCAATGGCAAAACATGCTGCTCCCAGCACATACTCGCAAAAGAAAGCTTTAAAGCAGCACCTACAAAAGAGTTGGATCCGCAGCACTGATTGACATTCCGCCTCTTTGACACTTTGACATGGAAATGAAGTTTTTAAGTCAAGCCCTCCAGTCTCTGCTTTGTTCTTTATCTCTCTTTGACTTGGAGATGCATCACACCAGATCTGTTTGCCCAAGTGGCTTAATAAAACCCACTGTACGCAGGTAAAACTAATAAAAGCACATTTGTACACAAGGCACCAGTATGGGGCAGACTTGGGGCACAAAGTTTTTTCGAGATATGCAGTTCACACATTAAACATAATGCCATTTCATACATGAATTTATACATGTAGGGAATCATTTTTTTGTTTTAATTTTTTCAATGCACTTTTGCAATGCCTGTTCACCTGGGAATGCATTAAGGTATTACATTTTTATTTTTATCCACAAAGGATGAGAGTTTGTGCTATGAGTAAAACTGTGGCATCCTTGAACTCTGTTAAATTACATTTTGACATTTGTTTTATGTGCATATGGTATATATGTTCAGAATATTAAGTTTTGAGCTTGAAAGATTATTTTAAGTGAAGCTCAAGACACAAAGTGAAAAAAGAGATCATGTCAGTGCCTCTTGAGATGGACAGCAAGTCTGGTTGTGACGCCAGCTCTCCACTGGCCTTTCAGGAATCTACGTGCATGTCATTTCAACAAGAAAACTTCATATCCCAGCCCCTCTCCCATCAATCATCATGCCATGTTGGGCAGACACAGACAGAACCACCAAGAAAAAGCTCTCTGGTGCAAATCTTCAATAAAGAGCAACTGTCACACTGAGTCTCTGCAGCAGGCTCCATTACATTAAAGAGCTCCACACAGCTTAACTCTGCCATCAAATTGAGGAAAAACATTCCACTCCTATTTTTTAATGTTTTGTCTTTTTTTTGTGCATTTTTAAGGAAGAAATAAGACGGTGATAAAAGCTATAAAAATACAAAGTGTAGAACTTCAGACAGTTTGGAAAGAGGTATACAAGAAAGTGAAAGCTTGTAAGGCACAGTGTGTGAAACCACAGAAAACTTCTGCTGGTTTAGTGTGATCAGCACACATTACACTGCACCATCTGCTGCCTAATACATTGTCTCTGTCACTGTGTTTTTCCGTCTGGGTGAAGCTAGTTATGTGGCCTTTCTGAGTTTGCATTCTTGTGCATTCTTGTATCCTCCTTGACTTGTTTGACTAATCTAATCACTGAAGTTCGGAGAAAAAAGCACCTTGGAGCCACCTGCGGAAAAAACGCCAAGCAAGAGCAACTCATCATATGCAAACAGAGCTAAGGTAGGTTGTACAGAGAATTTTAAACCATCCCCTGTGTGACTTTTTTAGGTGAACACAAAACATGACACAAATTTATGCACCAATTTGTGCATTTCTGCATCAGTCAATTTATGATGTTAATATCTTTTATTTCATCAAAATAAAAGTGTTATGTTACTTTTATACTCGAGTCGATTAGTCGATAGACAGAAAATGAATCAACAAAATTCTGACAAAAAAAATCCACTTTTTAAAACATTTAACCAGCAAAAATGTCTGTTGGTTTCCATTTCTAAAATGTGACCATTTACAGGCTCTCTTTTTTATATCACTGTAAACTGAAAGCAGCAATCCCTAGAGTTGACATTTTCATTTTTGATAATCACGTTATATTGCATGATTTATTTGTGTTTCTATTTATCACCCAGCTGAGTACAGTACTTCATTACTTTAGTGCCACTAACAGAGAAAACAGAATGCTGTGCTGGGCTTGTTGTTGATGTACACCTAACTTTATAATTAGAATCAATAAGAGGCACTCCTATACGTCTCCACCTTGGTCAGGTAGTGAAATGTGGATGGCTCTGCCACAGTCCAGCAACATTTGGACAGCTTCCAACGACAGCAGCAAAGCTGGCTGTGAGCCAGGCGAATCATGGCACTGCTAAACCCCAGCCAGTGGAACAATGCATGAATATGAGCACAAAGGAATGCAGCAGCTGAATGAGTTGACAGTAATGATGTCGCCAAGAGGGTACAAGTGGTAACAGAGGACACAATGCTCTCTGAAATCCACACCACATGCCTACCTTGGACCTCCTTGTCATTTCGGAACCACCGGATATTGGCAGCTGGTTTGCTGCCCGGTGTGGTGCACGTCAGGGTGATTACGTCTCCCTCCATGGCAGGCTTGGTGAATCCTGTGATCTCTGGCCGTCCTGGCACTCCTGTGATGCATGGAAATACAATTCTAAATAACATATTGAATACATGCATATGATGCTGTATTCCTCTGACAATAAAAAATTGATTGACTGATTGAGAATAACTGACTCTCAGATATTCATGCCTATTGTTTAATTTAATAATATAACAACATCTTAACTGTGACTTTTGATGTTTGGTTTTTAAAGGCATGTCTAAAGGTAATAATAATCAAAAATATAGTAGTATCACAACAATGAAAAATAACCAACAAAAGTGTAAAAAAACAATAGGATTTTATAAAGCAGAGGATGAATGTGAAAATAAATAAACTAAATTATTAAATAAAATCAAAGATAAAATATGCAAAATCTCTTTTTTAACATAACTGTGGCAAATTTCTTCCTTTCTGGGTATGAGATGCCTCACAAAGGTCATCTTACAGAAACTAAATCCAAATAAATGTAAAAAGTGTTGACAGTGTGTGGGAGCTGACTTTTATTTTTGTCTATTTCTGTATATACTTCAAAACAACTGTCTGTCTTAGAAAGGTGTGAAAACATTCTCATTGTGTTTTTTGTAGTTATCCTGCCTTGCAGAAAATTAACTATAGTAACACTAGTAGCTTGCAAGCTTAACTTTCATCCTTTATTCTAGTAGACAAGGGTAAAAGTTATTTTCCTACAAAGTAACATGGTGCACTGTGAAGAAAAAGAACACAGACTATATTCAAAATGTGCATGTATTCATGTCGTCAGAATGTGAAAAATTAGCCACTAGTTTTTGGCCAGTGGAGACTGGGCCAAAATGGACATGCTCACCCAGAACAGTGAGAAAGGCCTTGGTGGTCTTGACAGGCATGGTGAAGAGCGAGCAGGTGTACTGGCCCTCGTCTGACAGGCTGACGTCACTGATTCTGATGGTGAGCTCCTGCGTTGAGGCTCGCACCAACTCGATTCTGTGGTCCCTCAAAGCTGTATAGTGAGGAGAAACACAAAGAACCATAGAGTGTACAAAAAAAGAGACAAAACAGAGTTAACTAATCGGAAAATTCACACTGAATTCAATGATGGCATTTCACTTGTTGAGGTACCATTCATAATTCAGATGACCCCAGAACAAGGCAGAATGCACTGTGCTTTCAGTGCTTTCTTATTTCAAATAGCTGTCAAATGCTGCAAACATACTGTGGCCAATTGTTTGAAACATTTTCTTTACATTTACATTCTAGCCTGACAGTCTTATTCACAGTCAGTGAAAATACCAAAGGCATCAGTGGGATGCACTGAAGCGTAGCAGCAGAAAAAGCTCATAGTCCTAGATTACAATATCTATTTAGGTAATCACTTACATTCCAGGTATTGATTTACACTCACTTTAACACTTTTAGCAACTTGCTCTGCCTGTGACTTTCTCACTTCAAACATTGATATCAAAACCTTGCCCTGGCCTTATACAGAACCACTTAGCGCTTAAGTAATTATTTTTATTCTTTTTCACTGTAACTGCAGGCCAGTAAAATATAATACATATAAGGGCTGAGCAATAATTCAATATAGTGTCTATTAACTGTCAGTGGTATTGTATTAGGGCAATCACGTTGTAAATCATGGAACACACTTTCTTGGACTGAAAAAGTCTGATTTGATAAATCTGATTCAATTTTTTTTAATGCATTTGCTGTATTGTGATATGTTTATATTGTTAAAACATACTTGTTTATATTGTGATACGGTTTCCAACCAAAATTGTCCAGCTCTAGTGCACACTTAAGGGTCCAGTGAGTAGGACTGAGGGGAATCTATTGACAGAAATTGGATATAATATTCACAGCTATAGCTATTTTGTTAGTTTATAATTGCCTGAAAATAAGAATTGTTGTGTTTTCATTACTTTAAAGTGAGCTGTTTATATCTTCATGTGGAGTGGGTCCTCTTCCACGCAAACCACCATGTTGTTTCTACAGTAGCCCAGAACGGACAAATCAAATACTGGCTCTAGATAGGACCATTTGCCTTTTGTGTTTGTCTACATAGTTCTCCTACACACATATGAGAAGTTTCAGCTCTGCAACGACACCACTAAATGCCTCTAAATCCTACATACTAGACCTTTTAGATAAATAACAAAACAGCATTGCTAATAGCAGTTTAAGAAATAGCATCTACATACAAATTAACCACTACTACAAATAAGATTGATGCTACAATAATCATCAAAATGGGCAGTCTCAAAACATAGCTTGAAATAAAACCTTTCAGTCTTAAAACACCTTCACCACTGTTCATTCAGATGTGACTACACCCTCAGAAACCTGGGAAAACCATGCAGCTAAGCTGAAAAAGGTCATCTTGCACCTGTCATCTCTTATACAATTTCAAATTGAGAATCACCTGCTCCTACATGCGACCAACCACAGAGGGCAGGAAGGAAAGTGCTCTTCATTGAATAAATTACACATTCTTAATCCTCACTCCCTTTAGGCCTGGCCAGCTCTCTCCCTGGACACTTTTTCATCTGAAGTAATTTGAAATCTATTGGATTGTACTACACAGGGCAAACCTGGCAAAATGCAGCAGAGGTGGGTGTTGATTAGGATTTAATCAACGCGGCCAATATAAAATCGCATCAGATAAAGAAGACATCTCTATGAAAATCATTAATCACCTCCTCTGTTTCCATTTATTTGATTTTAGTGATGAACACACACAGCAGTCATGTGATACACAGTTAAATAAGATTGGCTGAAATGATTATTAGATTTACATAGACATAGGTCATTATCAACGACACTGTTCTTCAGCTTCAATTACACCATATCATTTGATGATTACTATCTTATAATCACACAAGTACTAAAAAGAAGGAAAAAAAAGATTGGCTATAGAGATACTGATGGCCCTAAGATGTTTCTTATTGGAGCCTCTTTGTTATCCAAGAATAAAGAGTAAATAAAAACAATCTTCAAGCCAAAATTAAAATTTAACAACAAGCTGTGCCATCAGAGAACAAGCTTATTATGTGCTACGGGGCTTAATACAAACATTTAATAGTCTTACTGTAGCAAACCGCATCCTGAAACAAAGCTGCCTGATGTTCTTTGTAGTTAAGCATCCTCACTACAAAGCTTGAAAATGCCCAGAGGCTCTGGCAGAAAACAGCAAACCCTTTGGTGGATGGATGCATTGGAGAGGTGATGGGGTCTAAACAAACATCGTACAGGAACTCAAAAGATATGGAAGTACAGGCTGAGAAGATCAAAGTCTTGGACAAGACGACATACTGTACTTCCCCTGCATATCCCTCTATCTCTGCATCGCACAGAGAAAAGATGAGGAGAAGCAGACTGACTTTTCTTCTTCTTAACCCCCTGTTCCTCAAAGCTCAAACACCTTTGAGATGTTGATAAATGTTCTGGCTGTTTCCTTAGAGGGATTTTTTTTAAGGGAAACAGACATCTTCTGGTTAAAGTGATATTTCACCCAAAATCTGTAGGTGTAAAAACTGAAAGATTTGTAGATTTCACCAACAGCTGTGATCAGGTTGAATTCATGTCTGTTACAACAGATGCAACCTTGAAAAGATTTACCAAAAGAAAAAAAAAATGCCCATCGAAAATTCCAAAACATGAGGTACTTCTCTGTCCATCTGGATGGTCAGTCTAATCCAAACAGTCATCGCTTTGGCAAAATATAGTTGGAGCCTCCATATTGCACCATTGCCATCTTCAAAGCTCCATGGTAGCATATTTGGCCATATGTCACAAAAAATTATGACTGTTTGGAACACACTGAGCATATGGCTGGACAACAGAGAAATGTTTTTTTTCCTTGGGACTATCTTAAAATTCCATTGCTGAAACTTGTTACCTTTGCAATCCATTGAAACTAACACAGAACAATGAACAAATACCGCACAGACCACTGATTATTTCAAGTGACATTTAAAATACCAAGTAGGCTACACCTAACTGAAACAGAACTAAATCTAAATGTCAGCAGTGGCTGAAATACTGACTCACATAGTTTGAACCCAAGTAGAGGCTGAGAAAGAGCTTACAGTTAAACAAAAGATGGACTTGACTGATGCATTTTTGTTACACACCTACTGGCACTACACAGCACGTGAATCAATGACATATTGATAGAATGAGATGTACAAAGGTTTGAATAACCCAAAGACAAGTGTTATCTATTACTCAAACAGCATATGGCCAGGAAACCATGCTACTAGCATCCAATCCAGGCTAGAGGCCCAGATTGTGGGCAGATCCGTCACAATCAGACCCAAATGCCAGCGGCTGACAAAGCTTTTTTCCAGGTGCTTTAGGAAATCAATGTGATGAAAAGGTTCATTTCCCCAAAACCCTAGATAGCTCCTGCGTTGTTCATTCTGCTTAGGAGAAAGCATAAATCGGCACCCTGACCTTGTATATGCTACAGCCTTGCAGCATGGCAGCTTAATGTGCAGTACATCTCCTGTGATGGAGGCCTTACCAAGGCTGTCTCAAATCAGTAAAACTGACACCCCAGTTCCCCCTCAGGGCAAGGGATACTGTTGCTATGGCCCTTTGATGCAAAATAATGTTTGCCTTGTTACCCTGACAGTCCTTTGCACCATCGACCATGTCAGTGGAAGACCAATTTGAGGTCTCTCAAGAGAACTGTAGTTTGTCAGATTCAGTTTTAACATCCTAGGTCAATGTTGTTGAAAGTTATCTGAATGTTCTATGTACAAGAACCTATTTTAACATGTAAAACAGCGGTTACAGCAACGTATTACAATATGATGCACTGTTTTGACGTGTAAGCTGACAGTCTGGTTTGTAGCTGCATTAGCTCTGTCCTCATAACTGGAGGCAGAGGAACTGAAAGTGCACTTTTCACATGGCATTCACTTCTGCACTCCACTGAGCAACAGACAGATGTTACCCAATATTTCTAATCCAAAATGATGAAGTATCTCCTGACAGTCCAGATAGAAAAGGACATTTTACATATATCCATTAGTCTTGGAAACAAGCTGATGGCTCTCGGGTTCAGCCAAAATATGTTACATCCGCAATGCCGAGTGTCCCCATTTGGCCATTTTTGCATGGCCTGTAAGCACTTTGAGCCAGTCCTGGAATGTGAAAGCACTAGCTGTCCTTCAGCGAGAACACAGGGTCCTGGCGTACCCCCCCTCGCTCTCAAGCCAGGGGCTCCACTCTTTGCAATTAGAGTGTGTTTGCTGCTGGCTGTGCTCACTCAGTGACTGTGTGGGCGATTCTGGATGTGTTCCAGGGCTAGTGGTGCAGGCAGGGGGCTCTTTCCCACCACACATGTGGCTGCAATTAAGAGAAGGAAAGGGCCTTGTTCCAGAGGGCCATTGTTACTGCCCGCGCTCTCAGAGATCCCACAGAGCAGATGCTACTCAAATTGGACTCATTTTCAGCCCATGAAGGAGGGAAGGAAAGAAGGAGGAATTCTCCCAGCAGCTACGCTATGTCCCCTCTTCAAGTGGTGAATAATGAGACCGAATATATTTTTGTCTGTCCATTTTTCAGCCCACTGACATAAGCTTGATTGTACACTGTGGGAATTTTTCTGCCTTTGAGTCCTTTTTTTTCATGACTTCTCTAAATTTAATTTTCATTACAACAAGTACCAGTGGGGTTACATAATTCTGTTGGTTTTCAAAGCAGTGTTACCAATTTCAGGGTTTGTAAAGACATATTACAGTACAACACATAACAATGACTTAGGCCCTGTTAAAGAATCTTAACATTTTTCATGTGGATCTCAACACCTCTACAGTAATTTAAATACAACATATTCTTCATTATTCTAAAGAGATAATATACATTATACATGAGAGTGCAGTGTGGCACAGAGCTTAGTATAGTACATACAAGAGAAGCTCTTCACATTAGTGATAATAGCTGAGTGTATAGTGCCATAATGGTAGATTCACATTTCAGTGAAGCAAGAGGTAACCCAGTATACTTAAAAGCCCATTAGTCCCTGAAGAAAGACATTAGCTGTGGCCATGAGACCCCATCTACATTTTGTTGCCAGTAAAAAAAACAGTCACTGAAAAGTAAACAAAACACTTGTAAGAACAATCTTGTGGCATGTGGAATTTTCCTCAGCATCCCTCCAGCATGAGATTCTTTTCCCAAGATATCTGAAGAAAATGTGGGAAAGTATGACCTGGCAAATCAATTTAATAAATCCACCTCATGGTGTGTTTACACACTTAAGTTCATTTTGTATATGACTTATTGCCTCTATACTTTCCTCTTTTCTGCATAACAATGATGCAATAACAAATGCCAAATAAAAACATGAAAACACAATAAAAATAACAACAATAATAATAATAATAATAATAATAGTAATAATAACAATAATAATAATAATATTTCTATGGTAGCTCATGTCAGTTTTAAACTAGACAGATTTACACACAGCTATCTGACACCAGGCTCAGGTAAAGGTCCACTCCGCTTGCTTCCAACAGACCCTCCGTCAACTGTTGTGTGTTTACGAGAATGGACGTTAAAATGTGCTTTCACTGGTGCTCACTCCAGTAATTGCATCCTTGGTAATTATCCTTCATTCTCTCAAGCTAATGAATGTTTTAATGCTCACATTAGAGCATTCATTTAGCACATAACAGCATTTTGATTACTACAAGCCAATTAAGATCAATTTTGCTTTGTGACCTTTATGATCCAAGCTGAATGCCCCAATTAAATGTCATGAATGATGAACCATAAACTTCTGAGAGATTGAATTGAGATGAGGAAAAGTGCTGTACAAATTGCCACAGCATGTATGTATATGCTGTATAAGTCTCCATATCTCCCCTACAAACACATACTGTAGTTCAAATGAGCAACTTGTTATCTGCCTTTGACATGCAACCTGCAGTAGCTTCCCATTAATTGCATTATTCATATTCACCGTATCTGACAAAAGATTCTGCTTCCATCCTGCATGCCTCCAGGAATGTCATTACCATTCTCTACAGCATCACTACTTAGGTTTTATCCTTTCCCCACAGAAGCCAAAAGTGAAGTAAATCATAATGAAGACAGCAAAGGACAGTTCTGTTCTCATTTGTCCTGCTCAGTAATAATAATTCACAACGCCAGCAACATATAAAAGGGATAATTTTACAAAAGACATATGGTCCAAATCGATTTCTTCATCATGGCAGCTCACCACAGAACTGCTTCCTTCAACAGTCTCTCCTAATTGGTCTAATGTAAGAATGATGTGTTGGCCTGGCTATTAAGGAGATCTATCTCTGTTTTCGCAGGTCTGTGGCAGTAGAGCATAAGAATCTGCATGTTGGTCTTTGCCATAGTGTAGTCTGAAGCCTCTGAGGTGGCAACAATCAACCAAGACTCAGATATACATAATGGATGAGGAGCAGCGTGCCAAGGAGCCAGCTGGCATGATATAAGAGGAGGGCTGTGTTCAGCTTTAGACAAATGTGCAGAGACAGTCCAACCCATATGGATCGGCTTTGGGAATCCAGCAAGGTTAACACTCTCTTGGAGCTCCACAAGGTTTGACTGAGCCTCTTATGGGAGAGGATGAGATGGAGGTCCTTCTTATCGTTTACACTCTCACCAAAGATACATTAAGCTATTGAGCTGTTACCTGCACAGTATTTCCTTCCCACTTGCAACCACAGCTCTTATCCTAATTCCACGTCTGTGATGAGACATGACATTGCTGTGTAGACAAATTGTAGTCCACAACTTGTAGGATGCACTGCTGGGATTACCTTCCCACCTACCTGAGGACTCCCAATGGGTTTATAAAACTAATAGTGCACCATTGTGATCTCTCTGTTAATTCAATTGCAACATGCAACATAACAAGTTTAATTGGAGCAGTCTTGTCATTAACAGAGATTGTCCTTGCCAGAAAAAATGACAGCATCAGTTGTTTGTTCAAATGCTTTAAAGGACCTATGTAAATGCTTTTTGTGCTCAAGGGCAGCTAAGGTAAAATCACTGTGAAACTGTCTTTGACAGTAGAGACCACAGTTCATATTTTGTCCCCTACCAATTGTCAAAGTTTCTCTAACCATGACCAATAACCTTACTGAGGTAGTTTAAGTGGTCCAAACTCAACCAATCATTTACCATGGTGGTGAAAGATCAGAAAACACTGGAGTAGACTTAAGGTATTCTTTAAAATTCTGGAAAGACACAGAAATCCCTTTTCTCCTTGGCTGTAGTCTTTGGGGCTTTTTTCATTTTCTCATTTGTCAGACCTGAATTAAAATGGAACAAATTATAGTCAGGGCAAAGATCAGATTTTGTCTTACTTTACCCAGCAGCTGTCAAGCCCAATGGATATAATACAAACGTTCAGCTTCTTTACAGATGTTTCTCTTTACACCACTATAACTGCTCAAAAGGATTTAAAAGGTCATTTTAATACTCTTTTCCTTCCTCACTATTTTATATCAAACTCCAAACACATCCAGACAGATGCCCTTATCTTTAATACCGAGCTTGTGGGAAAGAGGGAGAGTAGATTTTTTAAAAACAAGCCCCACAGAGCGTTTTGTCTAATTTAAGAAAGAACAGCAGATGTATTTTTATCATCATTACTTGTATGTGTTGAGCATCCGGAATCATGCATAAAAGCTGAATTTCCTCTGGATTACAAATGCACAATGACAAACTACTTTTGTGAAGAGAGAGTGGGGAAAACGTGCATGTGCATCAAATGGTAACATATGGCCATGCTGTCATGGACACCCAAGGGGATTGTAGTGAGCAGAGAGGTGGACAACAGAGACAACGGACAGAGAACAAGCACAGGGAAAAATGAAAGATTTATCTAAACAGCAGGTAAAAGAGATAGCAAAAATCCAAACACTGAGAACAAGAAAATGCAACATAGCTGCATTAATCTAATCTACTCACTGACAGCAGTCTATGACCAGCTGTTCATCAGAGGGAGAGAACAGCCTGCCTCAAGCTCAGCCAGTCTGCAGTTAGTTGTTGGACTGAAAGGTAGCATAAGGTTGAATCTAACATTTTTCATTGGCTTCTACAAGAAGGCACAACAAACGGGAGAAGAAGGACAGTTGCAGCCCTCTGCCAAGCAATTAACTGGTGATTTGGCACAGTAGAGATTTCTTCCCAGGTGTCCCACCCTCTTCTTCGCATGAAGCCCGTGTTGTTCCACGCCTCCCGTTTCTCCTGATGGCCTCACAGGCATCGTATTAGTTGTGCCAATAAAGCTTTTCATTTGGCTGTTTAAAAGGAGATGGAGAGGAAGTGTTCCCATACTTAGCCCTGGCAACCTCTGCTGAGTGGACTACATTCATTTTGTCATCCGTATTGCTCAGGAAAAGGATTCTGTCATGCAATATAAATGGCTGCCCAAGAAGGGCAAAGAGGCTCATACATATTGTGCTCTCCAAGCTCCCCTTACATGCTTGTAACAGCAGCATTTTGGATTTACATGTGGACAGAGATTATGGCTTTGTATTCACATAAGATCAGTAGGAGAACAAAACAGTTATGCGGCTTCATTTAGGCCAAATAAAGTAATCAAAAGATAAGATCTGAACGTTCCATTTTGTGTTACATCTCGTCAAAGTACAAAATAGGAAGGAAGATTTATGAGTCTTTTCTAATATAATTTGATGATTTTCAAAACTCTATCTATTAAAAAGCTGCCTTCTCTACATGAGAGAATACAGAAAAAATAACAATAAAAAAAAATGGTTTTGGTTCAATGACTTTTGCTCGAATTCAAATCCTTTGGGCACATTAACACCATTCACACAAGAGTATCTATGCGAGATTTAGTTAACTTTCATTTAATTGTATTTGGAAGTAATTTCATCTAATAAAACACCTTAGACCTCATTACTAAATCCAATCACTTGCGAGGGAGAAAGTATTTTTTCAAACCAGACTGTGACTCTCATTCTGTTGGTTCACTCTGGCGTCTCTCTCTCCTATAAATTGTTATTCAAAGGGAAAGTTAATCTTCAATCACTGAAACAATGATATTGTATTAGCAGCTACAGCATAAATGAAATGGGTAATATGCTGTGAGAAACACTGAAAGATGAACACCCCCAACCCTTACAAGACCAGTCCACTGTTATACTCCCTTTCACCCCAATTCCAATTTATCAACTCCAGACTTTTGTCACCTTTAAATTGGATTTGGCTGGTGAGAGCACATTATAATTCATTCTGGCTCGGGCCTTGTTTCACAAGGTTGCAACAGTGTGCTTCCTTTTCAGTGACATACAAACAGCCATACAAATGTAGGGCAGCTAAAATGCTAATTAAACCCAATCATCTCACAATCCACAGGCGATACTGTGTTGTAAACAACACTGTCAGTGATTACAAAAGTTCAATTCAAAAATAGTCTATTTCTGTTTAGTTGGTGCCCTGGGACATCAATGGAGACACAAATTCATTAAAAGTCTGCTTCGACATTACGTGTAATACATTTCCCTCTTATCCTGTCTTTTTCCTGTATTCAGTCAAATTGTGTGCTTGCAGGCAGGCAGGGACAATCTTGTACATTCCAAATTTGAAAAATTAATGAAGAAGACTCCTGTAGTAATGTAATCTGGCTAAGACATCTTTATCATATCTCATCATTTTATCATTAGGACCATTATCCTCAGGAATATTACTTACCTTTCTTGTCCCCAAAGAATAGGGTCTGTTGTGCAGGGTTTGACCACTGGAGGGAAGTGTTATCATTGTAATCCACACGACAGGTCATGTTGGCTGTGCCCCCCTCCACCACTGTCACATTCTGAGTTATGGGGAACTGACCTTGGCTACCTGTGGGATTATAAAACAGAGTTTGGGGTCATGGTCGTGACATGAATAGATTGCAGTTTCAGACTCAATGTTACTGTCTTTTCACTGAATCACATTAATGTAACATTCAGACTTGGCACTCTTCAAAGTTTATGTTCTGTCATGATATTGCACAATTACATTAATGTCTTCATTACATCACAGTAAACCAAAGATAGCGTAATGGAAGCCTGGTTGACATGGACTCCAGCCTTCGACAGCTGTTGGTGCTAGAGCAGTTTTTTTTTTCAACGGTGGAGACAATGGTAGGTTTTACTCTCCCAGAGCGCCTTCCTCGCTGCCTTATTGCAGGGCCCTAATTGGTAGCATGGCCTAATTAGAGGTAGTCATGTTCTGCTGTAGAGTCTAGAGCTGCAGCTGGGTGGTAAATTGACACATAATCCTAGACACTGTGGGCCTTCGATCCGAGCGACTGCCTTGCCCTGAAGCAGCCGCTCGTCACAGTGTGCAGAAGACATCCAAATGAGGCCTAATCACCCAGCCTTGCTGGATTTTACCTTCTTATTCCACATTTGTACTTGTCTTCTCAACAAAGTCCCCTAATTACATTGCAGAAGCATTTCTATCCTGCCTGTGTTTTATTGAACTCTGCCAAGCTTCAAAAACAGATGTCTAAAACCAATACTCTTTCGCGGGAAACTGAGAAGACAAAGTGTAGGCTAATATGAGCCTGACCAGCCTGGCCCCTTTAAGGATGACAACAGCAAACAACAACTGTGTTAGAGCTCTTGAGTTCATGCTTGAAGCTGAATGTGCTTTATTTGCCTGGGGCCATTTGGCTGTCCACAAGCTAATCTGTGCATGTTGTCTCTTGATTTCACAGGTCTGCTTTGTTTTCCTCTTGTAATGTGCCTGAATATGAAGGTGACATTGTCTCTGCCTCTCCCAGGTACAGTTCACCACAGGGACATTTCAACTAAGGGAGCAGCTGTCTGCCTCATTAGTCCAGCTCAAATGGGAGAGCAGAAAAGGTTGGGACAGCCAAAGGTCTGTGGACCTTCCTTGACCTCGAATGTCCTGATGGAGACCATTGTCAGCTAGAGGTGAAGGCAAGGCTGACTATAAATAGTAATGAGACAATATTTCCAACAGTGCACATTACTTATCTGCTCATTACACCCAATCACACAATATCACATCAACAAACACATCATCATTTCATCATTACAATAATTCAAGTGCAGTTGGCTGGATGTCAATGGGTAGTCCAGCAAAATCAGCTATGCATGTCATATTAAAAAGGCAAATGGAGGTGGATGCATTGTGTGTGTGGGGTACCATGTGGAGGTGTTGTTCCTGCATAACTTTCAGATTTTTTTGTCATATCATCTACACCACCATCTCTCCAGTATCTTTGCTGCCTGTCTCCAGTGTACACTGCTCACAATTCACAGAAATGCTATGAAAAAAAAAACAAAAGTCAAATCTAAACAGTAATGAATATAATTCTCAATCCCTCAAATTCTGGTTGGGGTATATATGATTGGTCAGGCAAAAATCTGTTGTTGAAATGATGCCTGCTAAGCCAATAAAGACATTTCACATAACCAGATGTACGGCCATGTCGTGAGCATCATTTTAAAAGAAGCTCCAGTGCAGGATAGTGTGCACTGCAGCTATCTGGGCTTCACCTAATACATTCATGAAATTCCACTGTCTTGACATTCTGTAGCAGTCTAGAGTGTGGCAAATGCTGTCCTTTCTGTGGAAACATAATCCCCAGCGCCAACTACAGACTGTATTTTTTTTTTTTTTTTTTGAGATGGTGATTGGTGCTGTACTGTAAAAGTAAGGCCGACCACCCCCCAAACAATATTCTAGAGAGTCACTGAACCACAAACTGCTCCAAGGACGTTACTCTGTGCTGTGCAACCCTCCACATTGACCTTGCTCTAAAGAGGTATACGTTCAGGTGTGTGTGGGGAGGGATATCCCAGAATATATTTAATTTGTGTGACTCGTGGCACATAGCACTTTACACTCTATCCCCTCTGTAATAAGGGGATGATAAATGGTTAATACATATTATACCAGTGTAATGCCATGATAATTACAAAGGTAACAGCCCAATAATATCCTGTTATTCACAAAGAGAATATCAGTAATAATTGGGTTTTACCTCTGTAACAGGGTTATATGGGTAAAAAGTCAAAAACATAAATACAATAATCACAAAGAATCACTCAGTAATAATGTGACAACAATGGGTTAAAGGCTCTACACATCTATGTAGGTGATTTCAGTCATTTTGCTTGATTAGACCTCCTCTAAAAACTGTGTAGACTTGTGCAGACTGTTTGAATGACATCTGTCTCGACCTTCTACAGGCATTTTGACACCTCACAGTAGCAAAAGCACAAGCGACGGTAATAAAATTAATGATGGTAGAATTTATAGCTGCTTCAGTTTCAGGGTCCTAGTGGTGTGCATGCTGGCTCACTGTCACTCTGTTGTGGTCTCATGGGGCACAAACAATTTTCTTTCACAATTAGTTGATCTATTGCTGAGAAACATCACCCCCTAATTACCTTGTTATAACTGAGCTGTAATATAAATGGCTAAGTTGCTAAGATGCAACACAATGTGCTTAACAAATGAACAACAAATTATTAAAAAAAAAAAAAAAAAAAAAATAGGCAATATCCAGGCAGATATTTGAAAACAGATTAAATTAGAAAAGTGCACTCAGTAGAGTGCCAAGCTCTGCCAGGCGCCTGCCTGGGCTGACCATAGCCTCTCTGGACAATTTTTGGAATTTCGGGTTACTCGCTGCAGCATGTTTCAGAAGCTAAAAGACACACATGCTTTGTCTGTTTCTGATGGAGCCATGACGCACTGCACAGAGCAGATTGAGTAGTAAAAGGGACTGTATGTGAAATATAGATACAACATATGATTATGAGGATGAATGATTTTTTAATAACACAGCCAGAAATCTTTGATCCAAGTTGTGATCTTGAAGATAAAAACTGGAACCAATTCATCTTGTATCGTGCCTAACTTTATTGCATTATAACATATCAGGTATACAATTAATTTTCAGTTGCTCCAGTTCAAAATGAGACCAAACTTTTCAATGGACTTCAGTTTCTGAGCCACAACAAGGGCCATATTGGGGCCTGCAACAAACAGTAAGTCTTGTTATTTTTAGCTGTGCTGATTTCCATAAAACCTTTCGGCCCCTGCTGACAGATTAAGAGGAGTAAGGAGTCAGCAGTCAGTGACGGTATAAAAAAGTCAATAAAACAACTTTTTCAACAATTGTGAATCACTGCAACCACAGGAGGTCTTCAAGCATAAATAATAATAATAATAATAATAAAAGCTACTGCATGTTGGATTTAAGCATTTCTGACTTACAGTACACCAATTTTCACTTAGATTGCCTCATTTATCTACAAAACAAAAATTATGACACCACAATACAAAAACTTATCAACACTTGGTAGCTTTTACTTTAAATAACCAATAAATACTGTGGATACTAAAAAATACAATAAAAGCTTCTAGGTAAACATGTAGATTATGTTGAGTCATGGCTGTGTTTTCCTATAAAAGCTAAGCCAGTGAAAGGGAACAAACAATTCTGAGAGGAGTAATGGAGGTATGAAGGTTGTCTGCTCCACTGATGATCCAAGACGACTCAGTGAAGTGCAGTGATGAAATGAGGAATAAACCTGCACTTTTGCAATATGCCTTCGGGGAGGATAGGCCATCTCTTAAACACAAAGCATATCAGTTCTACAGACTAAAGGACTAGAATACTGGGCATTGCTGTATCCTTTTTCGAGCGCTTGGAAGTATTATACTGAATGAGAGGGAACTACTTATTTTCAGTCAAGGCCAGCTGCAGTTTGACAGCTTGCACATATTTACAGTAGACAACATGCAACCTGCCTGCCATGACAGTGAATAGGTAAGGTGAGGATTGAGTAACCCGAGATATCTTGATGAAAGGAGCTGGCGCCCTCTGAAACATGAATACCATTAGCGTTTGCTTTTTTTCATGATGCAACTCTCCTCCTTTAATCCCTGATTATTATAAAGTGCTATAATAAAAGAAAAATTCAATATGTGATAAGTCACATCAATGTGTCTGTCTCCTTCTTTCTCTTTCCAATCTAGCCTTTCTATAGCTTTCCAGAAAGGGAGGTTAGGATTAAAAACATGAAATCATGAACCCTGAACTGAAAATGAACTTATTTTTACATTAAAATTTAACTTAATCAATTAAAATCCAAGCTTTTTATTGTTTTGTTTTTGTGTGTATGTGCTTTTAATCAAAACATTTCCAACATCAGCCTGCTTATGGGCCTAAACCTTAAAGCCATAATTGGTCCCTTGGCAGTGCTTTCCCCTTTCACAATGTTTTTTTATGATGGTCACATGGATCTGAGAGTTGCTGGGCTTTCTTTCTTTTTTTTTCTTTTTTTTAGTGCTAAAGCAAAAAGCCCACTCCAGTGAAAGCTGAAACTGGCAATATCACCCTGAGCTGGAAGATTATGGTCCACATTCAGGTGGGCCACCAGCACACTGATCATCAGTCACAATGTCAGCACACACGAGATTAGTCAAGTTGTTTGTTGTGCTTCACACAGTCAGAATGCTGCTGACACATCTCCCCACTGTGACATTAACTTTCATATGGAATCAAGTGACACTGCCTCATGAATCAAATATTTACCTGCACAGTTGAAATTAGGTAGAAATGTAAATGGGCGATGGAGGATAGCATCTTCAGTGCAAACACCAATATTTGATGATTAGATTTTAAAGGAGAACCACAAAAACAGATGTCTGCTTAAACACAGACTAAGGTGTACATGTCTGCTCTTCATCTCTATACATTTTAGTGTGGGATGAGGTCTGTGAAGCAGGTGTAGAGTATAAATATGAATACAGATGTTCAGAATAGCTGGCTGTTGAGTGTGCATTAACGATAAACTATTTCATTTCATCTC